AATGAGCTCAATTGTTGTACGAGTAAAAATATCGGATAACAATTATGTTAATTGTTACCGTTTTCATTTACCAGTTCAATCAATTAGACGCAATTTTCAATTACAAATTGGTTTGAGAAATGTAAATACAATTCACAATTGTCAGTTAATTGTAATCAAAATTACATTAAACAATCAAAATTAAGGTAATCAAATGTTTGATGATTGTAATTGAGTCTTTCAAGAAGATTTGATTTATGCTTAATTGTTAATTGGGATGATTAAATTGAATGAGATTAAACTGTATAAATAGTTGGTTAGTTGGTTGAGTGAATTATGTTTTCTGATAAACTGGTAACAATTAATCAATTGAATTGTGCTAGTTAAGGGTAAGCAAAATTAAATCTCAGTGTTTTAATCAGCCAACGTTGTTTAATTATAACTGATTGTGGACTAGGTCATAGTTTTTTTTACTTAATTTCTGTTTCTTTAATCAACTATTATCATGATTTTAATTAACTGATTGTTGTTGTGTATCAGTAGGTCTCACATACAATATAACTTTCCTATCTTGATGATAATAAAAAAATCATCATAATAATGATAATAAATTGTTGACTTAATGAACTATTGGCCAATTTAGGCTTTTACCTGCTTCTAATCAACATTGATACCTTCAAGGGATTAAGACGATTATGATGATGATGATGATAATCATGATGATGATGAGGATGAGGATGAAGAAGTAACTTGATTTTCAACCAGATTCTTTGATCATCAATTAATTAACTCTAATCTTTTTGCTTATGTTTACAAGTGAACAAGAAACTGGCTTCCTTTCCCCTTGATCATCTTCATCTTTTTATCATCATAGCCCGAGGCTATTTTATCACGAATCCATGTTCACCCACATCCGGGCAAATGGGATGAGGATCATGAAAACTGAAATACCAGTTACAGAGTATCCGGATCCAGTTCAAACTGCAGACGTATCATCTTCATCTTCATCTCCATCTTCATCATCCTCATCATCATCTTCATCAATACATAAACAGTTAACCTTTTGTTTTTGTTTGAATATTGAGACTGAAAATTCAGTAACAGTTGAAAGGTTAATTGTAATCAGTGAATAACAATTATCGTTTGAAACCATCATTTTCAAGCTCTTAACTGTTCATGACACAATGGGATGAGAACAACAATTATCATAAATAATTTAAATTCAATTAATTGTAATTAAATATCAATGGATACTAAGAATATATTATTCATCAATTAACCAGAATAAGAAATGAAAATCAGTTGAAATTTAAACAGTTTCCAAGAATTGAGAAAATAAAAAATCAAATCAATTTACTGTTACGATTTTCACAGATTATCATTTATCACAATTAGACACTAATCTAGATTTAAATTGAATAGATTGTTGAAAGTTAATTGCTAAATTGTAATAAAATAAAGGACAGAGATTAAGATTCCAAGCAAGTTAACAAAGTATCAAAAAGATGGAAAAGTTTTCCCATTTCTGTGTAATCAAAATGAAGAGAAACTTTAAAATGTTATCCTAATCCTCATTGGATTAAGAGCAACAATTTAACCCAAAGATAAATCAATATCATCTGATTTAATTAACTAATCATCAGAAAATGTTATCAATGATGAAACGATCATCATGATCATCATTAAGATCCGGTGTTAACGGGTTATGTTATTATTTGCAATAGGATTTAAAGTAGCAACAATTATTTAGCTGATTGTCAGTTAACATGATTCCGGCTACTTTCATCATCCATTTTCATCCTCATCCTCATCCTCATCCTTATCTTCATCATCTTGGCCTCAACCTGTTCCCTTGTTGAACAACATTCCTGAATCTTTAACTGTACTTACCCTTGAAACTTGATTCGTTGGCGCCAATTCCGGATCAACAGTTGATTCCTTTTCCTTCAAATTATCATCAACATTTTAAACAGTTAATGTTAATCATGATGATTATCATCATTTTGCTATTATCACATGTATTATAATTATCATCATCGGCGTGGGTTAACTTGATGCTAATGATGAACACTAACCTACAATTAGCTTGATAATATTGACATTCAAACTTGATCAAATTTAATCAATGTTTATATGTGTATGTGTGTGTATTTGATTAATCACTTGATTCTGATCAACAATGTGTCAAGAGCATAACAATTACTGTTTTATTTAATCAACTTGATTCTCATTGATTCAGTTGCTCAACTTTTAATTGACCTGCAAACAATTTACCTGATTGTTTAATTTTGTTACAAGTTTCATTTAATTTTAACTTGTCTAATTTTTTTTTCATCTATTACTATTTTATATTCACGATCATCAGTTAATCATGATAAGTTAATCATAATTCAGTATTACTGATATTGATCAACTCGCCATCTTAATCATGATCAGGTTTGTTGTTTGTTGTTGTTTATTTATCAACAATCTATTAATTATTACCTGTTAACTGTTTACTTGATTGTTGTTCCTACTTTTTTTCATCATAAAACATTAAAAAAAAACATTCATTCACTGAACAAGTAGTTGATCAGAACTTTTTTATACTCGATGCTAATGATAACTGACCTGCGAGGTCAGTTATTAAATGATAATATCGACGGCGAAAAGAGCTGATTATTAGCATGATGATGATGATGATGAGCCACCCAACAGGTGAGCCAGTTGATGATGATCATTAATTGTTGATTAACTTTGTCTGTCATTGATTGATCTTAGAGGATTTTGTATTTAAATTACAATTGAAAACTTTCGGACAACTTTGGACACTCCTTTTAATTGTAGCGCATTAATGTTTACAGTCAAATCATTTCAAATCAATTGCTTAAAAAGGCAGAAAAATTTTAATTACACACTAATTAAGTGTGTTGATTAACAATTTTCCCAACTATTGACATATTATTATAATAATAATGTTAAAGATACTCACAATTAGTTGATCATCAATTGACAACCATGAAAACTTTTCTCTTCACTTCAACCTGATCAACTATTATTGCTTTAGATTAACAAGTTTATTAAATTTGATTTAGACAAGTTAATAATCAGCCTTTTCCATTTGATATCATTTGATTTAATTGTACCATCAACAATTAAATAACAGTTAGCATCGTTAGGTACAATCATCAATGAGACAAATACTATTAATGAATACAATCCTATTGATTGGGTTACAATTATGTAATGAAAACTAATTATCAATGAAAAAGAAAACAAATAATTATGAACTTTAAAAGGTTATTGAAACAATTAACGTTATTTCATTTTAATTGTTGGTGTTATTGTTAACCAATTATGCCTTGGAGTGGTGAAAATTTTTTCGTTAGCTCCACAATTGGATTGATACGTAATCTATTAATAAGGTATTAGTAGTTAATTATATTAAAATAAAATTATCATCATTATGATTATTATATTATTACGTGAATGAAACAATTTAAAAACTACATCATTGATTGGTGTTAACGGGAAACTATTTAAACTACAGTTACAGTTAATAAGTAATCGTTAACTGTTATTACATGGTTGCTGTTAATGAATCAACCTTGAAGGGTCAAGATTGTGATTTAAACTTGATTTTGTGTATATAATGATTATTATGATTAAAACAAAAAAAAATGCTTCAGAAATTTGAGAAATTAATTTAGGTTCAGGAAGGAAGATGATGATTAAAATTATTTATCATGATAATCAATGGTGAAGATTTATCAAGGAATCAGGTTGTAAACGGCAATTGACCTCAAGGCCTGATAAATTTACTTCACAAGGCCTTTACTCTGTTAATCATCTTGATCGTCATTAATATCCGTTGGTATCACTTTAATTGATCATTTCAATCACTCTCATGGAATGTAATCTTATGGGTCAGAAATTATCTCTCTCACTGAATTAAGTTGGAAACAAAATTAACAAATGATTAAGTTTAAACAATCAGTTTAATTAGTGATTAGATTGTGACTTTCGCATTCAAATTGATTCAATTTTCATCTGATTTCGTTAGAGTTTAATTGCTGGACTAATTTGATTACTGTGTCACTGATGAACGTTGGTTGATTGTTGCGATGATTTGAGGGGGAAAAGAAATTATCAAAATTTGATTATCTCATTTGTCCTCGAATTTAGAAAATATCAACAAATTGGGACAAATTTGCTATTCGTTTTTACCTGAGAAAATATTTTCTTCATTTTCTTTTTCGATCATATGTTCAATCGATTTTCTTTCCTCAGTTACTCAGGATTCTGTTAGTTGAGAACATGAAACTTGGACAGAATTATTTTATTCTCGAGTTTAATCGAAGCTGTTGCTAACTGGCTCTTTCTTTCCAATAAAAAATCTCTTTCTTTTCTAACACCAATCTAATTCACCGAAATTCACCCAAGGTAAATCAAAAATTTCGGTTACCATCTAATCTAAAACATTTTCCTCGGATCAAATTTAATTCCCTCTTCTCTCATTGATTGCTAAGAAATATATTCTTGAATTAATTTGAAGTGTTTCTTAAATCCGAACAATTTATTATTATTTTTTTCGAGCCAGGATTTAGTATTCAAATTCGCGACTAGTCTTCAGGAATCAGGTCTTCTTTTTTCAAAATGAAATAAAAATGTAACAGGACTCAGCGAAATTCATAATTCATCCGATAGAATCAAAATCAAAAGAAATCATCAAATTACAATCAATGAAAAGGGAAAACAAAACCATCTCAAATGCTACGAACATCGGTATCATTTTCACAATCAATGCGACGATTTCAACGAAACTCAAGAGCTAAACAGGTTCGATTGTTACGACAGAAAAACCTTAATGGAAAACATTTTCTTTAATTTCAATAAATTCGCCAATTTAATATCTTTTCAACTCTTCAACCACCAAATGATGAGATGGAAAATCTTTTTGAAAAGCGCGCCGATTAGTTTTGAGTTGTTCTCACAAAGGTAAAGAGAAAGAGATTCTTATAACTAATACTCTTTGTATATGGAACTGGTCATTCTTTTGCTTTTGCAAAATTATCTTTTATTTGTAATGTCAAATGTTGTGATTTTTTAGTTAGTTTTTTTCCAATTTACTAGTTTATTTTTTTTTCCTTTCTATTTTTAATTAATTGTTGACCATCTGTGGGCTACTATTAGGACTCTAGGATCTTTCTATTTGATGCAAATGGCCGGTGAAGAAGAGCGCAATTTTAGGGTTCCCTATTATCATAAGATTTTGTCAAAAGGAGTTGATCTCAAAGCAATTGATAAAATATTAGAAGAGAGGCCTGTTAATTTGTCTAAATTACAATCGTATGTGTTAAAATTTGGTTTGCCACCAAATAAACGAAAAACCGCCTGGAAATCACTTCTTGGTAAATTGGTTTAGCATTTTGTGAATAGTGAATTTTTTTTCTCTCTCTCTCTTCTAATTTTCTATTCTATTCTATTCTTTTCTCTCTTTTCTTTTCCAGAGGTTTCAGATCGAATCGAACCCGAAGATGAGACTATTGAGAATGTCCACAAAGAAACATGTACAATTCTGGAATCAGCTTTAAACACTCTTCATATGATTAATGGTCGCACCAGAGTCAGTACTAAATTGTTGTTAATGTACATATTAGAAATTAAAGATCTATCTTTTGATATAGACAAACAAGTGAGTATCAATATTTTGTTTTCATTTTGACAACATTTGTTGCTTTAATCCACCATTTTCTCTCACCCTTTTCTCATTCAGCTTGCTACACAAGATAATGTTACCTGTAACGTTATAGCCATGAGCTTTGAAAATTTTGGTTTCCCATTTGTTGATACTTACTGGTTAATGAGAGCTTTTCTCTTGAAACTCGAAGACCAGAGGCAAAATATTCTAAAAATGGTAAGACATTTCAATAGCAATAGTTTGTCAAATATTTAATTCTCTCGGTGCAACTTTTTCTCAGGCTCAAAAATTCGCTGTTGAAGACAAAGATTTAGAAAAACATTTGGAAGAAACGGGTGCCAAAGACGTTTTGCCAATTTCTGTTTGGTTCTGTCGATGCTTTTCTGGGATTATTCATGACTCGTGCTTAGTGAGGTAATTGACGAACATGTGCAAAAAAGTAACTTAATCTTCATTAATTGTGATAATTATCCTTTTCAACTATCGATTCTATTTCATCATGAAAAGGCTTTGGGATCGCCTGGTTAGTGGTTCATTTAAAATACTTCCGATCATTGCCAATTACACTCTGTTGGAACTTAGAGACGATCTCTTGACAATATCATCATCAACTGAAATTCGTAGGAAACTGCTCGAGGTACAGTTGCTAACAAATTGTCTCCTCAATTACTGAACCTCATGTTTCCAATGCACCTCATCGTTTTTGACATATCACTTTGTTTTCTCTTCTCTTATTAATTTTGGCTTTTCTCTTCTATTACTCAGCCAACTCCTTTATCATCCTCGGAGAACATAACCAGGAACGTTTTGGAAACAAAATAAGAATGGTTCAAATACACAAAAAGCTACTCTTAAAATTTATCATCCATGTCTCTCTCTCTCTCTCTCTCTCTCTCTCTCTCAATCTTTCTTTCTTCTCTCTATTGAAAGTGTCTTGTCACAAGAAACTTTTTTTATCAAGTTACAAACCAAACTGCCTGGGCTAATTTAAAATTCATATATTACCTTTTCTTTTGAGACTTTCATCACAACATCTTCAGTTGAAACCTTTCGTACTGAGAAGTAATGTTTCTGTCTTTCTGTCTTTCTTTCTCTCTTATTATTACCTCTAATTACCTTTCTCATGATGAGAGAAACAATCTAAATGTGATGTAAGCTGATGGCTTGGTCTATGTGAACATAATGATTTCTTTTTTTAACTTTAATTTTTTTAAAGCTTATGATGAAAATCGCAAAACAAACGGCTTAACTTAATTGTATTAGATGTTAATGAATAGATTTTAGCCGTTTGTGGCTAGTCACTAATTCTCAATGAGAGGTTCATCTGTAAAAATCGTACCAACAAAACCTCGTCAGCGAAGCTTTCGATCTCTTAATTAACTCGTAATTCAAGTCTCGATAAGATAAAACAACAAACAAACAACAAATAAGCCTAAACAATTAAAATTCAATAAAACTGCTTCTTATGTGATACATTTTTATTATAAGAAACAGTGACAATCAACTAATGATCATCAGTTATTTCTCATTCCATCAACAATTAACCTCATCCATTGACTTCTTTCAATTTAATTCGTCCAAATCATGAATGACGGTTAACGGAAATTCATGTGCACCTTTCGTTAATTGACAATCAAAATGATCCAAAAATCGGAGATTCGGTTCAATGTTATTCGCCTTTAATTGAATCATTTGATTTGACCAAAGGCTCAAGAGATCATCTTAATTAGTAAATTTGAGGAAATTATTAAATATTGATGATTGGCTTTTGAATCTCTGCTGATTGTTACAATTTACCAATTTTGTAGAATATCAATTCAAGAGAAATGTTGATTGAAATCATCTAATTGTTACCATCAATTGGAAACAGTTTGTCATTTATGTTTGATCCCTTTGTTGTTGCTTAGAGTTGATGTTTGTTTTTGTTGTCAATTTGAAAGGAATCAATTGTTACCTGTCAATTGTGTGTTGATCAATTTCTCTCGTTTGTTTTGTTTTAAATGAAGAATTTAAATTACTCGATAAATTGACATTCGTTCCGTTCAGTTGTTCAATGGCTCGATTGGAACACAATGGTTCAGCTGATGGTGGAAGTGGCGGAGGAAACATCGGTTTACCAGTAACTCAGCTTGACTTTGAACAAGCGATGAGAGATTTCAAAACAATGTTCCCAATGATGGAAGCTGATGTGATCGAGATGGTGTTGAGGTCAAATAATGGTGCCGTCGATGTGACGATCGATCAGTTATTGGCTATGACAGGTGAAAATGAGGCAAAAAAGCAGCTTAAACCTCCTCTTCCTATTCCAGCTTCTCAGCAAAATTTATCATCGGCAAGTCTCATGGGTGATAAAAGTGATTCTCCCCTTGATCTGTTTACTGGCCGTCTTAATAACACCGGTTTCACTCCTCCGCCGAGTTATCAACAGGCTGTTCCTGTTGGAGGGGATAGAGTTTCAAGTGATCGATCATTTTGTCAGCAACCTCGATACGATATAAAAGATACTTTTGGTACAGTGGGAAGAGGAATCGGAGATGACAGTTTGAGATCAAAATTCAACTGGAATCCTCCGTTGATCGGTCGTTTGCCTGATACTTTTCTCCGTCTTAATGATTACGGTGGTGGATTAAATCGTCGAGCACCAGCAGCTTTTGGATTTCAAACCTTAAGTTCAGCCGATCTGAAGCAAAAGATGGCTGAAAATGAGAGACAAAGGCAACTTTCAAAAGACATTGAAGATTCGGAAACAGCTCAATATTTGGAAGATGAAAGAATTGCCATATTTCTTCAGAATGAAGAGTTTGTCCGTGAACTTCGACGGAACAAAGATTTCATGTCCACTCTGAACATGGACGCACAATCGTCTGGACGAATGGGTGAGAATGCGGGTCTACCCGAAGGCCCATCGGTGCCTTGTCATGAAGATGATGCCGCTTTCAAAGAGAAGCTCAGGAACATGGGGAAAGCATCCAAACGAAAATTCACCAATTCGCCAAACTGTTCTCTCGACGTCGTGCCAGTTTCCCCCACCTTCTCGGGTCCCACGGAGATACAAGTAACACCGGACGCGAGAATCTCTTCTCCGATGATACCTACACCCAATTGGAAAACGAAGGATCTGACACCGAAAGTATTAATCGAACTTATTTCGAAACATATCCCGATGAAGAAGAAATAAGTCGTCGAAATGCAACACCAAGTAAAAATCGAAACACTTCCAAGAATAGTTAGTTAATTGTCTTGGAATAAAAGAATCAAGTAAATCACGGAGGCAATTAAATCGAATAAGAATCTTTCATCAACGCATTTAAAATGGTCCAAAAATTAAATTGCTTCGCAAAGTAAATAACGAAAACCCTTTTGCCAGATCTCTTCTCATCTGATTAATCAACGATGATTTTAACGAAGAAAATTTAATTCTACCAATTAATCAACTAAATGATAAATCACAACCAATTGCTATTCAAGACCAAAACTTGACCAATCTCATTTAAAATGGAATCACAATTGGATCGCTCAATCAATTGATGACAAATAATCAAGATCCTAATTTTTATCCTAATCTTAACCTTCATCATAATTAAATCCAGATCTGATTAAATCAAAGTGAACAAAATTTACGAGATTAACGAGACTTCAAACGGAAGATAATTTATAAATCAAGTAATCAAATTATCTCACATTGAAAGTGTCTCTTCAACTATTCCGAAGCAACATTAACAAGCCAATTAGCAGCTCCACAACTACTTAATTGCAACTAATTATTAATAATTTAGCATCTTCGCTTAATTGTACAAATGAATTATATATATATTATATATTTGTGATTCTTTTCATTTGTTTAGCCAATGTAACCATCGGTCTCAAGGTGAATTTAATTGCTGGGAATCAAGAGGAAAACAAAATTGGTATATTTCCATAGGTAAACTAATCAACTAATCCAATGACCAGTAAAGCAAATCAACTAATTGGCCATAATTGTGCAAGTAATTAAAAGGAGCACAATCAATTGCATCCCTAATAAGTTGTGCATTAACATAAAAACTTATTTACATGTATTATTATTAATTTAATTGTTCTAATTTAATCTGTTTCTAACCATTTTAAAAGTGATCATTTAATAAAATTAACCAATTGACAAGAATCCTAAATTTAATTAGTCTCTGTAATGATAATATAATTGTAATAATACAGTAGATATACATTCAATTAAATAATAAATGATTAATTTTACAACTTTTTGTAACACATAAAGATAATTGTGATTGTAATTCTGTTCACTTGAAGCATAATTAATCAGTTTAATTAACGATTAAAGTTACAACCTTCACTTGTTTTTCATTCGCAACAATCAAATCAGCTCTTCGATCATCATATTCATCGTTAGTTGGACTTTAAAAATCATGGTAATCAGATTATGAAATTCAAAGCTATTGATTAAATCAATTTGATTCTTTCAATTCTGAGCCTTTGCTTTGCCAACTGACAATCGAAAATGTCAAATTTCTAGCGAAATTTCGAAACAACTGATTAAGTGCCTGAACAATTAATTCGATAACCAAAATATTCCAATAAGAGTTAGAATAAAATAATTGTTCGATTGAACATAAATTGATATTAATTTCTGTCACTTTTGAATCTAATCTCGTTCGCACAGTTAAAGTTCATCATATAAGGTTCAAGGTTAAATATCGTTATGAATAAAACTCATTAGAGATTTCGTCTGAACCACTTTGCTCATTGATATTATCGGGCACCAAATCGCTTGAACATTTCGACTGATTCTCGAATTTTGATCTGATTCCTTCGTGATCGATGTGAGGAAGACAGAAATCAAACACTTACCAATGATCAAAGAATATTAATATGGAGCACGACAACTGACCGAATATTATCCAATCGAAAGAGGTCCCTGGTGATGCTCTTTACGTCGGCAGATAGGCCACATTGTACAAAAGAACGAGAAAATTTTGTCAAGTTTAATGTCCGAAAATCGAAAAAGTTCTGATCGCCGATTGTGGTTTAACCAGATCTTTTTTGGAACTTTTAAAAAGAGTTGGAGGAGGTTCTCGAAATTCTCTATAATAATAGATTAGCTCTTTTCGCTTCGACGGAGGTCACATTTTAGGGTTGACATTTTTCTCGATAAAGTTTGCGGTTAAATTTCGCGGCTTTAAACTATTTGCAAGTCGCTCGAGTCTTTGGTTAACAACAAACTTACCAATTCTGTTTTAATGATGTTTTAATTGCCGAGTTTCATTAAAACATATTAACCCAATTTCCTAAATTACATTTTGTAATCAGTTAATTCAATTCTAAGCAACTAATTGGTAAGTAAATGTTAAACTGCAATTTGAACCATTCAAAGTTTTCAATTTGGACTTGAATTGTTGATAACAATTTTCTCATTCCTTGTTATTAGTTGTTGGTTTTATTTCATCTTGATTTCTAAATTGTTGGTTAATCAAGAGCGTTTGGAATCTGGTTTATCGTCGTTATTTTTAATCATGTCCATTGTTGGTGAATCGAAAGTGTTTCTTGTTACCGGTGGAACTGGATTAGTTGGTAGAGCAGTTGAAGAGGTTGTTAATCAAAACAATGGAAATGATTATCCCGGAATTAGATTTGTCTTCATTGGATCCAAAGACGGTGATTTAAGTATCTATGAGGAGGCGAGGAAAATATTCAATCAACATAAACCTAATTATGTTTTACACTTGGCAGCGATGGTTGGTGGTTTATTCAAAAACGAATCAAACAATTTATCTTTCTTCCGAATCAACAATTTAATCAATGACAATATCCTCCGATTATGTGATGAATTGAAAGTGGAAAAATGTGTCTCATGTTTGTCAACTTGTATCTTTCCAGATAAAACCGTTTACCCAATTGACGAAACCATGGTGACTATTAACTTGCAATCTAATGATTAACATCGTCAATTGATTAATTTTGTTTGTTCTCTTTAATTGTAGATTCACCTTGGACCTCCTCATGCTTCTAATTTTGGCTACTCTTATGCGAAAAGGATGATTGATGTTCTCAATCGTGGTTATGCTCAGAAATACGATCAACAAGTTAAACAATTAGGTGACAATTACAAGAGACCGATTTTCACTGCAGTTATACCAACCAACGTCTATGGACCTTACGATAACTTTAATCTACAAGATTCCCATGTAATTCCTGGTCTTATTCATAAAACTTACCACCAAGTTCAAGATGCGATTAGCAAAGGCTCGTCCGAGGCTCAATTGACAGTTTGTGGTTCGGGAAAACCATTGCGACAATTTATTTACTCTTATGATTTAGCCCGTTTGATGCTTTGGGTTACCTTTAATTACCAAGAGACTGAACCAATCGTTTTGTCCGTTGACGAAGACCAAGAAATAACAATTAATCAGGCTGCTCAATTGATCGCTGATTCGTTCAGTAAAGTGGCTCCCGATATAAAGATCAATCTAATCAATGATTGTAATTACAGCGATGGTCAGTTGAAGAAAACGGCCTCGAATCGAAAACTTCGTAAATATCTACCCGATTTTAAGTTTACTCCAATTGAGGAAGGAATTCGAACATCAGTCAAATGGTTTTGGAACAATTATGATTTCGCTCGAAATGAACATTGGATTCGAAACGATTCTTTTAAATTCGAAAAAAAAACTTTGTAATCATCAGTCTTAAATTTTGATAAAAAGTCAAATTATCACTCGAATAGCGGGATAGTTAATAGTCAGAGAAACAGAATTAGATTTTTTTTTGTTGTTACTTTAAATTGATTTTTTTGCGAAGTGGGAAGATTTACAGAATTGGCATGTTTTTGTTGTACAACAGGTAGAATAATAAGTTAGGGAAGTTATGATATTTAATCATAAATATCATACAGAAAATTATTGTTAGCAAATGGGTTAACTATCTTTTCATTTATATTAATAAGGAGGATTGAGGTTGTTGCTTAGGTTTCATTTTTGTAACGATGATAAAGGGAGAGTTTGAAAAAGAATCGGTTAAATTGTTTTTTACAGTCTTGGATAAATTTAACTACCAAACTGATTAATTGATCAGTTTTAATTTCTGATGAAATTGGTTTTCTCTATGTTAATATAATCAACTAATTGCGTTTTGTCTTTGGCCTGAGCATATGGAGAGGAAGATGAAAAAGGGAACCGAAATTTTTTTCTACAAAGATGCAAAAAAAGAGGGAAGGTGAGAGAGAGAGAGAGAGAGAGAGAGAGAGAGAGAGAGAGAGAGAGAGAGAATTAATTCATTGAAGAAAAATGAACATCGGGAATTATCGCGTTTCCCAAAATATCGAATCTACATGAAGGCTTCAGAGAAAATATGAAGAGGAAGAAAAGGACGAAATAAATAATAGCTTTTTTGATTCATCAGCACGAATAATGATAAGTTATCTTGACTTTTTGCTTCCTCGTTTGGTTTTCCTCATCTTCTTGCTTTAATTTGTTGTCATCTAATGACTTGTTGTTTATGTTGACACTTTTCATCTGCTCCTTTGCGTCCGTAATAAGTGGTCAGCAAATGCTGCAACAATCGGCCTTCTCATCCTTATTACGCTTGAGAAGTGAGCTCACTCTGTAATTACTAGAAAGACCTTTCCTAGATTTAGAGACTGCTGATGAAGATGAAGTGTTGCAAGGTAAACAAGATCTGTCCTCATCGCCGAAGAGTATATTGTTGCAAGACTTTGATTGAACGATAATTCGTAAAGAGGTTGTAGTTGATCCACCGTTTGTTGTTGATTTAGAGTTGGAGTTATGAGTTAAATGATTAATTACATGATCACCGATGTCATTTTTACTATCACCTTGGCCATCAGCGAGTATCATAGTGGGAGAAGCTGTGACACTACTTGTAAGAGCGAGAGAGGGTTTCGTACGATGGGAGGTGGGATATCCAATGTTCGATGGGTCACAATCAACTGATGAGAGATTGTGTTCATCATCACTGCGAAGTTCACAATTAAAATCATCTTCACGTAAAAGTTCGGGTGAACTTGAGACAAGATGAAGTTGATTAGCGATGAATTCATTTGATGAAGTTTTTAATAATCGAGGAGATGATTCTTCTTCTATTCTATCTGTTGTTTCATCACAAGTTACTTTATTATTTTCGTAAGTAGTATCACCACCGATGTCATGATTAATTTTATCTACTTTCACTTGTGACTCTTGTAAATCTATTTTGTTATCATGACTAAAATCAATTGGTAATTCTCGTTCACATGAGTCCAATTCATCTGCTTCCTCGATACACTCATCTACAGATTTATGATCATTTTCACTGAAATCAGTCACAATTATATCTACGGATGGACGAGATGATTCATACAATGTTGGTTCGATCTCTAGTAAAGGTTCATTTGGACCATCGTTACCGGAAATATCAGTTCCAGCGCAACTTCCTTCTTCACTGACAATGGAACATTTTCTGGCTAATGGAAGAATAAAAGATTGATCATCTTCGGATGAAGAAACTTCCAACTGATTAACTTTATTGCTTTTATCATTGCTCGAGTCTCTCAACGGAGATCCAAAATTTGGCCTTAAACGAGGAGCTTGTTGGACAATCGGCTTTCTTGGTCCTCTTCTTGTTTTAAGATGATGCTTTTCTTTAGATTGTTGAGACTCTGATGATGCTGTGGAATTGGTATTATTGTGATGAAGCTCACGAACTAATTTATCCTTCAACAGATGATAGGTGGCAGTTACATAATTATCTTGTGAAGATTTATTCTCATTTAATTTCTCTCCATTTATTGGTAAAGGTACTTGAACTGAGATTTCAACAGGTGATGTTATTAATTCACTTGATTTGGTTCGATTGACACGATCTCGAGTCTTTTTCAGGGCACTTTCAACATGGTCTTTAGATGAACACATTCCTTGTGAGAGCATATGATCAATTACTTTTTCGTGAATGTTTGATTCTGTTTTAGGTAATTTGACAGGAGATAATTTGTTGAGATCACTAGATTCATTTCGTGAGCTTATTGAAATAGTCTCTTGAGTAAAATTATCACTACAGTTTCCACCATCTTCCGATTCGTTTTCATCATCTTCGTGAGAAGCTTTTAACCAACAATGGTCAAGAACTCCCTTAATAGTTAAACGAGAATTAGGATCACGTTGTAATAAAGATTTGATTAAGTGAATTGAGGAATCACAGATAGAGGGTCTTCGAGGTGTTGTAAAAGAACAGTCCAATATTTTGATTAGCGTTTCACTGTCATTGATCTGCATGAAAGGATTATATCCATACAATAATATATAGAGAATACAACCAAGGCCCCAAATATCAACTTTATCGCCATCATAATGATCTCCTAGTAATATCTCAGGGGCTGAATAGGCTAACGAGCCACAGGAGGTTCTCAGTTTTTCCCCTTCATCCCATTGATTAGAAAACCCAAAGTCAATTAGCTTAACCAAAGGGTAGAGGTGACCATCAATAGTTATGTTACAATCGGTGGGTTGATTAACGATCAAGATATTCTCAGGTTTTAAATCACGGTGAACAATTCGCAAGGAATGACAATAGTGTATTGCACTGCAAATCTGTCTGAATATGTGACGAGCTTCTGTCTCCTTTAATCCTTTACTACTTTTACGATCAATATAATCATAGAGATCACAAACATCTTTACCAGGATATTCCATTACCAGATATAACTTTGTCTTTGTGTCAATCACTTGGTACAATTTAACAATATTAGGATGTTCTTTTTCGGATAAACGTGATAACAATTTAATTTCCAGACCAAGTTGTCTTAATCCCTCTTTTTTCAATTTCATCTTGTCAATTATCTTAACAGCAACAAGCTCTCCTGTCAAACAATGTCGGGCCAATTTAACGATAGCAAAATGTCCCTTACCAAGGGTTTCATTGGTGATATCATATAATCCAGCGGCCATTACCAGTCGTTTCAATTTACTTTCAGATAAGTTTAAGGTTGACGAATGATTAAGTTAGCCAAAAATGGATAAAACGAGATAATGTTGTCTGTGCGTGAATATGAAAGTAAATGAAAGGAGAGAGAGAGAGAGAGAGAGAGAGAGTGGGAGAAGAAAAAGGTAACGAGGACAAAAGTAGATATGAGATGATTTTGATTATTACTTCAAGGAAATTGAATGAAGATGATTCACAAGATGAGAAAAGCAATAAACTTGATCAATTTAACTTGCAATGTGAAAAATTATGATGAACAAGATGATGATGATGGTGAAGTTGAAGTTGATGGTATGAATGGATTGAATTTCCTTCTCTTATACCTGTTCTTCAATCTTTTTCCTTTAGTTTTCTATTAAAAATTGAATAACTTGCCTCTGTTTTACTCTCTCTCTCTTTCACAAAACTCTCTCTCTCCTTGGCCCCCCTGCCAACAATTTGATTCACAATTTTCAAGTCATTACCAGCAAAGTAAAACAAAACGGGTTAGTCACACTACTATTGAACAAGATTAAAGTAAATTACAAATGATCAAACTCTCATATAAAAAAAACCGAAATCACAATAAAAACAAAAATAAATTCATGTTCAGAAATTAAATTCAATTTCAATGAATGAAATTCTGATCAACCCAAAAACAGAAAATCCGGGGACCGTCTCCACATTACCGACTGGACAAAAATTCTAAATCAAAGTTAATTCAATTTAAAATTTAAATTGTTTTTCCATTTTAAATCAATTAATTTCTAACAGAATCAATGGAACAGAAAATTAGTGATTTTTTAGAAAATTGATTAGCTTAATTGAAGAAAAATTGAATCGGTTCGACTTGGAAAATCTTCCAACTGAAGAAATTAAATTGAACAAGTTTATATTGTTTACGATTGTAAATGATTAGTAAATTGTTAAAGTGATGATTAAGGAGGAAAATTGATCAGTTGAATTTTGATTCCATTGTGGTTAATACAATTGGTTCAAATTGTTTGACATTTAAAGGAGAGAAAGACCTTCAATTGATTGATTGATTTGTTGCACAATTTAAATTGTAAATTTCAAATTGAAATTTATTTCGATGCCATTGATTACAATGTAATTTTGTTTCGTTTGTTTTGTTTTACAGTTTGAATAGAAAAAAAAAGAATTGAATTAAAGATAAATTCTGAGCTTGACATGGTAATAATAAAAGATTTGGAAATTATTTCTCATGACTATTTAGTGAGGGTTTGCAAAAAAAAATAAGAGGTAAGAATTAATCATCTACGATGAATTTTTCTTCGTCACATTTTTGGAGGGTTTTGATTGTTTCTTGTTGAGTTTTTATGATAACAAAATTAGAAAATAAATGATGACCATGGTGTTTATGTGGTTGTGGAACAGTTCAACTCTTCCATACTTGTTTCCAAACATTGTGATGATTTATCTTCTTCCATACTTTCATCTTCAAATATCTCGTTCATATTTCCTTTGGATGGACTATCATCGAGCTTGAGTCTCATCGGTGCGATGTTGTCCTTTTTTGGTTTCCAAAGGCGTTGAGAGCAAGGAGATAAAACATTGTCGGTGGGCGAGTTGTACCATTCGCTGTTTTTGATCGCCTGTTGCCGTTTCACAATAGCAGGAGTTGCAGCGGCTTTTTTACCTTCATCTGCTTGTTTCTTGGGAATATCCTGATTATCGCCATTTTTCCCTGACAAATCATTGGAATGCAGGTCATTGGTGAAAGTTTTCTTATCTCCAGCTCGACCTTTGTGAAGAAGACGCTTAGCAATATTCAAGGGAACACTTTCAGTAACGCTCATTTTGAGTTAACAGTTAAATATATGAATTTCGTAAGGATTCAAAAAAGATTAAAACAACAATTTAAAAATACTGTCGGGGAAAAAAAGAAAAGAATAAAATTGAACGTTGATTATAAATAAGAATGAGAAAACACACATGAGAATAGAAAAGAATTGTTTCAATTTCGATCAATCAATTAGATTAAAAGGTAATAAATTTAATTCTCACCTGAATGTACAGCGTTGGGTAAATAAGAATCAATATGAAGGTTAAGAATGTTACTGAAATTAAGTCACAATTAAGACTAAATTAAATGGTTAATAACTGATTAAGTTTAATGTTCACTTGGAAAAGTAAAAATGGTTTTGTTTTGATTAAGAACAGTTGAAGTTCAAATAAAAGAAACGAAACTCTGATTGGCTGATTGAGCGAAGGCGTCGCTTGGATTGACCAATCAGAGACTCGATCTTTTTAAAGGTTCAAATGAAAATTAAACTCATTTGTTTTTGTTTATCTCTCTTTACATTTCCAATACTTTTAATCTAATTAAGTGTTTTCTTTCGTTAATTAGCGATCAATTTTTATCACCATGAATGATCTGAAAGGTAAGTTTGATGATTCTCTCATTTCAAGGAGGAAAAAAGTGAAACGTTTCAGAAAAAAACTGTTCTTTATGCTGAGATGTTTTTGTTTAGATTCAAATCTTTTTCTCATCAATCTGAATATTAAACGGTTTTTTTTTCTATTTTATTAATTAGATAATCCATTGTATATTTCTTGGCACGATTCTGCTTGGATTCCACATATCAACCAAGCAACGGTTCTTGATTACTTTGGAGAAAGAAGTAATCCTTTCTATGACCGTACTTGTAACAATGAACTTCTTAGAATGCAAAAGGCCAGTTTGGATCAATTAGAGTAAGATTAAAGTTGGAAATCGTTTTTTTTTCAATTTTCTGATCTAAATTTTGCTAATATTTGACAGGAATATGACTGGAACTGAATATATCTTGTTACACGTACAAGAACCAATTTTATATGTGATAAGGAAACAGCATAGACATTCAAAGGATCAAGTTACTCCATTAACCGATTATTATGTTCTCGCTGGTTATGTTTATCAAGCTCCAGACTTGAATTCTGTTATTAACTTTAGACTGACCACTGCTCTTCATCATTTATCTCAAGCATTTGAAGAGGTTCATTCTTATGCCAAGTATCATCCATCTAAAGGATATTCATGGGATTTTGAAAAAGATTCCAAAACAAAAGAGAAAACAAGAGAAACTGATAAAGAAGCAGAAAAAGCGAAAGAAGAACCCAGTTCATTATTCCAAAGAGGTAGAGTCGATTTACTGATTCACGAATTGATGAGAAAATTTCCTCCACCACAACCGAAAAAGTGAATCAATTCAATTCTGTAACATTAATCTTTTCTTATTTATATTTGCTAATCAAATTGTAGTAACTATTTTATCTCTCGGACCAAATTGTCCAGTAAATTGATTATTTGTGCACATCTTTACCAATGACTCTTGTCAGTCTAAATGTCTAAACAAAAGCTATACAATCAAATGAAAAAAAAGAACAATTTAATCATTTAAATCATTTGATTTCAATTGAATTTACACAACAGAAAAAAACAAACAAACAAGAGACACTTTGCTTAAAGAATAGAGATCATCACATAATCAACAGAGAAAATGTAACAATTTAAATAATGTAATCACCTGGAACATTAATCAATAGTCTAAATCACAGATTAGCAGACTAAAAAAAAGATCTAATCAAATAAAAAGTAGAAAATCCCTTAATTGAACTTGATAATTAACAGAAAGATTGATAATCAAACCAGAAAAGATAAACCAAAATGAGAATGTAAACAAAATCACTCGACACAATTAGTAGATGACCAAATTACTCTGATGGTTGAAAATGTTGACAATTATGAACAATTAACAGATGAGATGATTAGAATTAGAACAAAAAAAAAGAAAAGTTAATTAGAAAAAGAATTAAATTGAGAAATTTGAATTACCTTGCAAAGAGAAAGGAGATCACCGGTTGGTTGATCTTCTCCCGATTACGTCATCTGCTTGGCCAAGTGATTTTCTTTTCTCTTGTTGTTAGTTGGCAGTCGACGTATTCATGTGTTGGCTTCTTCTCATTGGCCGATTGTGAACCCGGTTAACCATATTTTCCATTCTAATTACAATTAAATTAATTTGTTTCTTTTTTTTATAATTAATTTACTATTTTTCTAAACGAATTTTAATGATTACAAGTTAGTGTTTAATTGGTTTAAATTGTTCCATCTTCTTTTTTTTATACTCTTTTGTTTTGTTTCTTTGTGGATTAGCTTATGATCAAAGAATCATCATTATCAATGATGATACTTCAATCTTGTAATAGACTTTTTGTTATTCTTTTTTTAACCATTTACTGTGGTTGTCTTGGTCAAGTTCCGTCAAATAATCAATCATATGATCCACCACATCGTCGATTTGAATATAAATATTCTTACAAAGGACCTTATCTTGCCCAAAAGGATGGAACTGTTCCCTTCTGGATTTATGAAGGTTCAGCTATTGCTTCTGAAGAAATGGTTCGGATTACTCCGTCTCTAAGGTCAAAAAAAGGATCAATATGGACTAAAATGCCAACTACTTTTGACCATTGGGAAATTGAATTGTGGTTCCGTGTAAATGGCAGGGGTCGACTTGGTGCTGATGGTTTAGCTTTTTGGTATACGGACATGAAATATCCAGAAGGTCCAGTCTATGGGTCAGCTGATAATTGGAGAGGTTTGGGTATTTTCTTTGATTCTTTTGACAACGATGGTAAAGGAAACAACCCTTACATTATGGCGATGGTTAATGATGGTTCTAAAAGTTATGACCACCAATCAGATGGATTTAATCAACAAATGGGAGGCTGTCTAAGAGATTTTCGTAACAAACCTTTCCCAGTTCGAGCTAAAATTGAATATTACAAGAACGTTTTAACAATCCTTTTCCACTCTGGTAACAGTAACAATGAAGATGAATATGAAATGTGTACTCGAGTCGAGAATGTTTTCCTTCCACAAAGAGGCTACTTTGGAGTCTCCGCAGCAACCGGAGGATTAGCTGATGATCATGATGTTCTTAAATTCCTTACATATTCTCTGCATGTTCCAGGAAGTCAACCAGCAATTCCACAGGCAACTGGAGCACTTGCTGATCAAGAGAAAGAAAAAGTCTCTAAAGAATATGAACTTTATAAAGAGAAACTAGAGAAACAAAAAGCAGATTATTTCCAATCACATCCCGATGAGGCAAGGAAAATGCGGGAACAGGAAGACATGTCTCCAGATCATGAGTACGAAAGTCTCGGTGAAAAAGAATTACAACAAATCTTCACAGGTCAAAGTCAAATATTCGATGTTCTTAAAAATTTAAACAGAAAACTGGATGAAATCATTGGTAGACAAGAACGAACTCTCTCCATGGTCGGTTCTTTCCAAGGGGCCATGCAAGCAGGAGTAACTGCTGGTGGTGGTGCCCCTCATCAAGGCGGAGGTCCACCTCCTATTTTACCAGCACCAATTCAACGTCATGAAGTTGAATCTTTATTATCTCTCCAACAAGAATTGGTTCGTAATTCAAGAGACATGAAAAGTTCAATTCTCGCACAAGCAAATGCTCAAGCACAACCCGCCTCAGCCCAAGCTGCCCCTCACTCTGTGCAATCATTAAATCAACAAATGTTAACTGATATTCGGGATAGTATTAATGTATTAAGAAAAGACTTGGGTCAAATCGGGACTCGTGTAATGGCCGGTGGAGGAGGCGGAGGTGCGCCCAATGGTAATGCACAGCCAATCGTCAGTTGTCCAACAATTAACTGCCTCTCTTTTACTTATTTCCTCGTCATAACATCGGTTCAATTTAGTATCGTATTGGGCTATCTCGTCTACAAGAGTAGTAAGGACAGTCAATCTAAAAAATTTTATTGATTATTTTTTTCATAAACAAATAAATTTAACCAAAATTAATTGTGATCACTTAAGTTGACTTTCCAGCCAATCAATCAACTGTTATTTTCCGGTAAAAACATTTTCATTGGTTTTTTTTCAACGTCATCATAATAATCCATAATCATCATCACTCATTTCAATTAATTTACTTCCATTATAATCAATTCATTGATAGTTCTCACTCTTGATGATTTTCTGTGTAAAATAATAATAACATAAGCTGAGATATTTAAATAATTACCAAAGTTTTGATTATAACCCTCAGAACTTTAATCAAATGAGATAAACAATTAGCATGGAAACGGAAATCACAATCAAACCTTGAGATGGAAACAATATAATCCATGTTTGAGTGATTAATTAATCTTCACCAGTTTTCAACCTGCTAAAAAGCAACAATTGGTAAACAATGTGTACGACCTTTTGATTAATTGATCAAAAAGTTAATTATTGAGATGACGCATCCCAATTAAGCAAATTACTACAATTAGATGATCATTTATGTTTTTAAACAATTAATTTGAAGAGGATTTTAATTTAATCATTAGTATTTTGTCATGTCACTTTTAAAGGAATTCGTCTTAGGTCTGATCATCATCTTTTTCGGGTACAATTTACACATCGTTTGGGAATCGACGATTAGTGAACTCAGAGGATTTAGAGACACGGACCCGGCGACGATTTCGGTGATACTATTTCACTATGGAATTCATTTGACTGGATTTTTCGCTGCTTGGAAGCAAATCAATTGGGTTCTGTTTATCGTCGAGATTGTTTTCATTGGTAAAACAGTTCGAAACTATTTTAGAAGAGCTGAAAGATCATATGACGACGAATTTACAACAATCAAAACGGTCATTTTGATTGCGATCTATTTAACCATAAGTTTTTACTCGAAATGATCGAATTGATGGTTAATGTCAAATTTTATCGTCATTTAAATTGTTTCAAATACACTTGCGGTCAAATGTGTTGCCCGATTCAGGGAATTTACAATGGGTAAAAATGGAATTAATTTCTATTATTTACAATACGGATTGTGACCGAAAATACTGATATTAAAATTAATTTTTTTGCCCCAAAAAAGAAAAGTAAAAATGATTATTTCTCAATTAGTCTTTGTAACGGACGTTTGATCTTTCAAAACGGCATCAAGCTTTTTAGCTTCTTCGGTCACTTTTTTAATAGCTTCGTCTACTGTTTTCGTGAGAGTGGCTGTTTTAGCCGTTTTATCCGAGTTTCGAGATGGACTTGGTCTTTTTGATCTTTCCTTTGACGGGCTTCGTCTAGGACGTCGTGGTGATCGAGATCTGCCCCTTGGTCTTCTTGGGCTGAGTATAGCTCTACAAATGGCACGAGGTCTAGATCGAGATCGAGAACGACCTCTTGATCGAGACCGGGAGCGACCTCTTGAACGTGATCTTCGCCATCTACCTCGAGCTGGTGAACGTCTTCTTGACGGAGATCGAGAACGTGATCGTGTACGTGATCGAGATCTTCTAGGTATATACAGTCTACCAAAACTTCTACGTGGAGATCTTGTTCGAGGTGGTGACCTTGCAAGTGGCTTAGATTCAACAGGTTTATCGATTGGTCCGTTGCGGACAAATTCAATCGAAACTGGCTTCAATTTATCTAAATTGTAAACAATTTTTTCGGTTGTCGGATTGCGTTTGGGAGGCGATGCTTTCGACGAGGAAGCGGAGAAAGGTTTGGTGAGTTTAATTGTCCGAATTTCTGGTTCATTCTTTTTTATCGTAAACGATATTCTCGGTGATGGCCTTTTTGGAGTATTTCGAGATACAGTCTCATTAGACTTTTTATCCTTTGATGGTTCTACAGATTTTTCAATCCTGTAAATAATATAAAATCGACAAGTTTCAAGATTAGTCAACATACAGAACGTAAGAAGTATCGAAACTAAATTAACAAGAAAATGATCATCACCTTATTCCGGGAATGGGTCTGATAGAGTCTCTACTTCCTCTTCTTTTTTTCTTTTCTTTTCGCCGTTTAGACTTTTTCGATTTAGACTTTTTCGATTTCTTTTTCCTTCGAGATCTTCGCTTGGATCCATCACTCGAACTGTCCGAATTTGCTGATGAAGATGAAGAATCCGTAGAGCTTATTGAAGAATCAGATGATGAAGATGACGATGATGATGATCTATTCCGTCTTGATTGTCGTCCTCTTCTGAAAGAGATAAATATTAGTGAAAAATGAAACAATCGAGTAACAAATACTCACTTTTTATCCTCTTCTAAAAGTAGTGTAAGTTTATGAGATGTTTCATAATAAGATTTTTCTTTCAGATCTTTGTACATGTTTTTAAGCTCGTCTTGAGTTGATCTCTGTTGATAAAATAATCAAGAAGAAAAGAAAAGAAAAGTCGATTCCTTGATTCCTCATTTTCGTTTTTTATTATGTAACAAATTCTTACACTTCTCTGAGTTCCTCTCTTTTCAATTAACGATTTCAAAGTCTCTAAAGCTTCGTTGTTTTTAACATTTACTTGGCACGATCGACGATAACTTCGCAAAGCATTATCATAATCACCTTTCTCTTCAAATCTAAAAATGCATAATAAAAAATGGAAAAAATTAAAATTAACCAATGAAAAAAATACCATGGAAATTGATTCATTTTCTTACAGTTTTCCCATTTCTTGTAAAGTTTCACTCATGTATTTCCTTGCATTGATATGTTCCGGATCTATGGACAAAGCTTTATCAAAATCCTCGGCCGCTTTGATCAGACTATTAGTGTTGGCATATAAACAGCCTCGAGCGACGAGAGCATCGATATTGTCACTGTCCATTTGTAATGCTTTATTTAGACATTGTTGTGACTCTAAATAGCTACCTGCTTTTAAGAAATTGACTCCATCTTCAACACTGATGAAAAGAGAGGAAAATAAATTAGTTAATCATGGAAATCAGTAAATCTCATTTCAATTACCTTTGTCGAGCGTTTTCAGCTGATTGAACTTTTCTCAAATGCTTGAAATATTCATCTTCTGGATATGTAACACTGAATGAGAGAAAATAATTCATTTGTAATGGTTAAAGAATCATGAATCGCCTTAGAAGTATTAATAGTTACTTGTGGAAATCTCTAAGGAATGAGAATCGTTGAGATATTGGAAGTTCAAAAAACTGAGCGAGATACAATGAGGCACCAGGGTTGTTAAACGACAGGGTTGCCTGAAGCATTTCATTATAATCAAACTTTTTCATGACGATTTGCCTTCTACATGGGAAAGAAGAAAATAAGTTGAAAATAAAGAGCAATCATATGGATTGGAAATAAACAGAACGAACCTAAAATGTATTGGTAAATCATCATCATTGATGGGACCCTGGATAAGAGAGAGAGACAATTAGTATTAGAAATGTTAATGTTACAATTTAACACTTTAATCTTACCATTTTGAAATTTTTCTTTAGCTCTTTAGGTAAATGCTCTTCTTTCATGGAAACTATGATTTTAAGATCATAATCATTATAACCGACAACAACAACCCTGAGAGTGTCTTTTGGCTGGTAACCATCTTCAGAATTTGATCCGGTGGGAGGCAAACAATTAATCGAAGGACAATAAGCTTTTACCTCGCAATCGTGAATGTCTCTTCTTTTACCTCCATCCATACAAAGAACTGTACAAATTAAACAACTTTCTGCGTGAGCAGTAACCTCAACACAAAGAATATCACCTTTAACTAGACTCTAAAAGAGAAAGAGGGAGAGAAATTAATAAACAATTGTTGAAGGATTGAAAGATTAACAATTACCTCGTAGAAATGTTTCCTCCGGCAAACTTTGGACACACCGGTGAAAGTTTCGATCGGTGGTAAGCAGGCACAGATCTCTGGAAAAAGAAAAAGATAAATTCATTCAATCACAACCATCAAGACGATATTAGTGTATACAAATAAAAGAAACAAAGTAATCCAAAATTGTAAGCACTTGAAATGGAAACAAAATTATTTAAATAAGCACCTTCTTCCATCTTTTCACTAACTAATTGTCTCACTTGCTTATGAATCAATTTCTTTTGATTTTCTACCATCTCTTTGGAACGTTGAGCAAATCTTGTAAGTCTCGATCGAATTGGATCGACCATGGACTGATTGGTGTTCAAATCGAATTGGTAAACATTACTATTCCACTGATTCTCTAAAGCAGGTTGCTCATTATGTGATTGTGGTGGATAATGAGAATGAGAATGTAAAGAAGGGGGAGGTTGTTGATGTTGAGAACGAGACCGAACATCTGAGTTAACATAAATTGGTTGATCGAAAGTTTCAACGAGATTCACCAATGGTGGTTCAACTGTTGGGTGTAATATCGGTTGTGGTTGTAAGCCCAGAGAACTGGATTCATTGGGAATTGACCAAATCTACTCCTTCCATAAGCTAACCGAGGGTCGACCAGCCTTGGAGGACGATAACCAATGTAATTAGGTTCCATAGTTTCATAAGTTAAAGAAAACAAAGTAAATCTATAAAAAAAAGAAAAGAAAAAGTAAAATCAGATCAACATATTAATGATTTGAAAAGCAAAACAAACACGAATCTTACATTTATTTTCATCGATGATTAACTTTAAATGACAAGTACACAGTTAAAGGAGATATGACGGTGTTGACACTTATAATTAGTGACTAATTAACAAAGAAAATACAAATTGAACAAGTTAAATCACATAATCACATCACTAAGAAAAAAAGGAAAAAGTGTAAATGAGAATCTATCGATAAATGGACAATTGATTATTGACTCAGAGGAATTATTGTTTCTTTCATGGAATTAACTAATCAGATAACAACAGCGAGTCCTTTTATCGGCCAATTAAGATGAATTTAGAACAATTATCAAACATTGGTTTAGCTTTAAAAACAATTCAATTAAACCGAATGTTAAATCAGAGGCAAATTTTTCAGCCGATTGATCAAAATTATCACTTAGAAACCAAAGTAAACAAATGGAGAGAAAAGCGGGAAACTTGAAATTGGCAGAATTCACAATTTTGCTAACTATTAATTGAATATTCAACTTTTTCTTTCTGATTGGAACAAACAATTATTACTTTACATTTGAATGGAACTATTATTTTGCCTATTCTGTGTTTTTCTTCAGTTTTCTGATAACCAAATTCATTCAGTTAATTTACATTCGAAAACAGTGAGGATTAATTGTTCTAATATTTGTAAAAAAAGAGCGAAAAATGAACAAGAAAATGATTATTCGGAACTCGATTAAATTGCTGATTAATGTGGTGCATTCTCACATTTCAGAACTTCATTATGAATTACTTGAGGAATTACCCAACATCGAAAATGGCTTAGAACCATTTCGCGCTCTTGGAGTAAAAGTTTATGAATAAATCGATACTTTGCTGCTATATTGATGCTTTGGTAAAAAGACTTTAAATTAATTGAGTTGACCTTTTTCTCAATGGAAAAACGGAATAATATCAATGTTTCGAATTTTAGTTAATTACAAACAGTTACAGAGATCAAATGATGAATTATAATGTGAAAAGAAATTTCAACTCATCAGTTTTAATTTATTCTTTGCGAAGATAAAAGTATATTTTTCACCATCGAATTTGCTTTTCAGTTGAATCGCTATTCCAGTTTATTTTCCAGAATTTATCTGATATTATTTTAAGATATTTAGATTTTAGCTCTAATGAATTTAGCTGATTTCAATCCAAACCGACAAAATTTTGTCTCTCAAGACACCGGATCATATTTTCATTGATTAATTAATACATTTTAATGGTAAATTTGTTAACCTTTTCAATTTTTGATTACAATCAAGAGGCTTTTTTGGATTTGTCTTGAGATGTTTCCATCCATAGACAGTTTTCACAACCATAAATCATTTTTTGCAACAAATGCAAAAGTACAAGTCAATTAAATTATGAACAATTTGCTTTGAAACCAATTAGGGTTAATATAAGTGAGGAATTAATCAATTTATCTCTCACAAACGAGGTATTAATAATTGTGAGAAACTCAATTTATACATAGCAATCATATTGATTACAACTTTTCATTATGATTAGTTATTAATTAGATTCACAACCTTAGTTATCTAGAGATTCAATTGTATTGATAAATTGATATATCTTCCAGTAGATAATTTCACAACCTTTTTATCATTAAATTGTTGATCATTTCCCGAAGTTTCAGATTTCAAATGATCCATTTTCGAGATCAATAAGACAAAAGTTTTACATTATAAATTTAATTTACATTAATAAATATGAAGTGATTTAATCTGATGCGGATAAGTTAATAGATTTGGCTTTTCCAGGTTCGATCAATTTTCCGTTAGCATTTGTAGCTAGAAGATAATCTTGACCTGGATTTGGCGATTCACAACCATAGAGTTTTAATTATTTTGTTATCCAATTAGTTCACAACCTTCGTTAATTTCATATTCTTAGTATTTAAAATTTGGTTTATCCTCGACCTTTTTGCTTTGCTTTGGTTACCTTTAGATGATACTGATCAGTTATTTCGTGATGGTGGTTAAGTGGTCCTCGTGTTTTTTATGTATGTGGATGCAGCTCATTATACTTCAGGCCATTTAAAATTCTTACCAGTCATCTTATAGAATTGGTAGTTGTAAGGCCGATAAAAATGTCGTAAAATTTGAATCACCTTTGGATTAACTGACGGATGAGGGCGACCCTTTGATTCATTTAGGCACTTTTCAAGGGTTCCATTGATGCGAACACAGTAAAAACCTTTGGTTACATTGTATATAAAATGATCTCGGCCAATTTTATGTTCCAATCCAAGAAAAGTTTCAACCTTTTGAACTTCAGGGAAAGGATCATACACCAGGCGATCACCATCGACGACATGTAATTGTGAGCCTGGAAATAGCTGAAAATTAAACCACAAAGAAGTTACAACAAGATTAGAGAACAAAATATTAATTTTGATAACAATTAGATAAAAGATATTGATTCAGTGCTTTATCAGCATATTCAGGTAAAACCATGACAGTTTGGTAATGCCAAGGTATTCAAATACTATATATAAGTAACTTGATGAATCTGATTGGTGACATTTAACATTGAACCTCAGGCTATCAAACCAACATTAACTGAAAAGGAAACAATTTGATAATAAACTTAATAACTCAGCAATTTATTTCTATCATTAATTCACTCTAACGATTTAATATCGTTAGGTCATTTTTTTTCTTCATAATTTCTAAAAGAATATACCAAAAGTTCATAAATATTCAGTTGAATTTAGTTAACTGAAAAAATTGACAGAGAAATTAAAATGAAGAGAATTCTAATCGATTTCGATTACGTGATTTGCTTGTTAAACCTTTTTCTTTATTGTTCTTTACTCTTTCGAGTATTTTTCTACCTCGTTAAATTAACAATCTTTTTTCATTCCATCACAAATAGTCACATTATCAATGCAATATTGGAATTCAAAGAAACTATGACGATGCTGAGAACTAATCATTGAAAATGCTACAAGATCTGATGGAAAATTAAAGATTCGAGTTCTAAATTGTGACTTTGTGTGAAAAAGATTGACTTGTTTCTTTGAATCCGATGTTTCAGAGGATTAACAGGCACTTGATCAACAGATTATCAGATGAATTTGCTATGATAGAGATAATCTTATCGCTGGAATGATTATTTCTCAATTAAGTGTAAGAGTAGATTTATCAAGCTTCGAGTTTTGAAACAGCTGAGATCAGTGTAGTGGGTTCAGGGTAAAGGAGAGTAGGTGAACTCAACAATTAAATGAAGAGCAGCGATTGTGACAATAAGTCCAATTCCATAAAGTGTCAAGTGAAAAGACCATTGAGACAAATGCTTGGTTGTTTTTTATTCATTCTTATTGTTTCTATCATTCTACCTGAGATTTAAAGTTGATATCTGAAAAAGAGTTGCATAATTACATGAGGAAAAAAATGCTGAAAGAGATGACGATTATTATATTGATCCAAATAAGAATTAAATTGATTGATGAACGAAATGATTAAACGGATATGGACATTGATTGGAGAAACGAAGAGACCAAATTCATTTAGGTTATTATTTAGTAATTTTGAAAATCTTTTTCATCTTCTCGTATTACTCAACTTACATGATCTTTATCATGGTAATTACCTTTTTTATTATTCTCAACTAGACTGAATAATTGAATGGTAGAACTCGTTTTTCGTTGGTTACTCAAAGAATTGCGTGATTTTTGGATATTTGATATTAGAATGGAGCAAAATTAGATGAGATAGTTGTTATTAGATTTGAAAGAGGCAAAAAACAAGAACTCTTATTAACATTCGTTATGGTGATTCGTAAATGGATAGATGGATGAAACTGAGGTGAAAATAAAGTTCATTTCTGTTCTATAGAAAGAGTAAAGAAAAAAATATTCCAATTCCTTGTTCGTTGGTTTCATATCTATTGTTCTTGAAGATGAATCCGTTTTTTCATTCAAATGTACATGGTAATTACAGAGATCAGAACGAAAATCAATGAAAAAAATATTTGAAACTGCGCAACGAAGTAAAAGATAATAAATATAATCATTTTTTATCTCTTCTTTTTTTTCAAATTCTGAAGTTATCGATAATAATAGATAATTAATCGCTGTGACATTCACCGATTCTTATCATCTACTTCAAGAATAATGAAGACACAGAGTTTTGAAGATACTCAATCTTACCATGGAGATGATTTTATTGATAATTTTTAATAAACTATTCACCAGAGTAATGATGTCTTATTACTATCATGGCATCAATACCCTGAATGTAATTGAAATGTTGTATAGCAAGAAAAAATCATCACCATTTATAATTTACTTGTTCCTATTTCTTTTTCATGGTAATAGTTGCATTTTTTTCATCAGCTAAATTACATAGATCACATTTACTAAATGTATATTAACAAGGTAATTCTTTGGATGACAAAACTCCCTGGCAACTTAGATTATTGGGATTATCATCTTTATATTGAATTGGTGATAATCAACAATTGGATACAAAACTTGATGATAATTTTCTGGAATATCGATTCATCGGTAAGTTAGTTGTATTGAAACCTAATAAGTATTATCATGTAACTCTGATAATTTCATTGGACTCAATCGCATTTCTATCTAAACATAACATTTAGTTAATTTTTCTTCTCATTCTCAGCAATTGAATTGCAATTGCAATTGCAATTGACTCGAATTTCAAGCATTTGTACCCTTGACCTTCCCCATGTTTATCAAAAGAAAGAAAAAGAATCATTTCTTCAGGCAACTTGGATTCTTTGGTATTGATAGGAAATAATATTTCTGATTGAAAAAAAGTATCAAGAAACTGAAGCTTTTCCATGGCTAATCAGGTAGAGTATTAGGGAATAGAAAAGTGTATTACTACCTGAACTTTTCAAATCCTATCTCTTATTTAACTTCTATCAAATTTTTAGTACATTAACTTATTAGATAAAAAAACATCGAACAATTGAAAAGTGAAAACTAGCTGATTAGGTTAAGAAAATATTAATATCTCATGATGGTAAGAATTTGAAAAGTAAATATTATCATTATCATGATGTAACATGAGTGGAGAATAGAATCCTAAATCAATCAAATATTGATCTATGGAAGTAAATATTTCATACTCATGATTGTTATATTTCAATAATAACCAGAGACTATCATAGATACGATTCCAAGTGTAATCCAATTAAAGGTGAAAACTGTTGATAGTTGAGTTGTTGATGGTAAATGAGGACAGCCTAGAGTTTGGTTGTGGAGACCTCGAGTGAAGATGCTCAATCACAATCAATTGATTCATCTATTGAGAAAACTGTTATTGACTTGACACGAAAAGATTCACTTCAAAGGTCTCATGATTCTATTATTAAAACCGAAGCTTCTATTGAACAAAACGCTCAGAGAAATTTAGAAACTACAAATGAATCAAACAAAATAATAAATCGATCTTCAATCGAAGTTGAATCAATTCAGAATACGATTACTGATACCACAGTCTCTTCTTTTACAACGGGTTCAGTCAGTAAAGTGAATGAATCAGTTTTGGATAAGAAACAAAAGATTTCGATCCATCTGTAAACTTAATCGAATCAAAAACCCACAAAGACTCTGAAGTGATCAAAAAGGTTATAATTGGAAGTGGATTCGTTGAAGAGACAAAAACTCAAATGGTAGAAACTTCAGATTCATATAGTAGCAGTTCTGATAACCAGTTAGAAGCAAGAAAAAGTTCATTGAATAGAGATTCAGAATTAGACAAAATAGAAGCAACTTCCTCTTCGAAGAGAAGTTCAGTTGACCATCCAACAGAATATAAACTCCAAGAATATACGACTAAATCATCGGCAACATCGTCCCAAATACAATCAGAAACGCAATACGATTCGATTGAGAGGTCGAATATAACTAAACAAGAATCGAAAACCAGTGAAAAAGTTTCTGAATCAAATTCAAGCGATTCGCAAATTGTTGATCGTGAATTTAAAGCTGACACAGAAGCAGCAATCTCGAGGCCAAAATCCGATAATTCATTAGAATCTAATAAGGAATTTCCGGCAAGCGAGTGCCTTAAAGAGGAAACGGAAATATACAATGGAGAATCAGTCAAAAGTGCGGTTATTACTTTCGAAGACTCGCAAAAAATTGTAACAGAACACGTAACTACAGTAGATAAAAATTCTTCGAAATCAGAAAACGAAAGTTTGACAAACTATGATTTGAATAATGAAATTTCCAGATCAACTTCAGAGACTCATTCTTCAAGCAATGTTACAAGCTCACATAAATTTCCATCGTTACCTGGCCAAACTCTTGATAAATCATCTTGTGATATTGTTGATAAAGGAGTTTCTATAAGATCTGAAACTAGTGATGGAGAGAACGGGAATCTCGCAAAGGCATCAACAAACACTGAACTTTTCTCTGCTATTCACCGAGAGAATAAATTAACTAATATCATCTTACCAAGATTCAATTGTTAAAAAGTTAGAAGAAGACTCGAAGGGAACTGTAAGACAAAGTTCTAAAGAGGATTCAGTTTATTCACGAAGACAATCAACCGCTTCGATTTCTGATAATTTATCGAAATCAGTTGAACAAGAAACGAGTGAAGACGGTAAAAAAATTGGAAAGAGGAAAGAGTCGATAGAATCAACAATCATTAAAGAGACCACAAGTGAGCGGGATTCTAGAAAAGAGTCAATTAGTTACAAAGACACTGAGATAGTAGATTCATTATCTACGATAACAAATCCGGAGGAATTGTCGAGTAGAAGAGACAAAAATACCATTGAGAGAAAAGACTCACACACAGAGGTTAAAATGAGTACTTATAAAACTCTCGCCTCAACTGGCTCAGAATCTAGTTTGATTGTGGAGACTTCGAATGTAGATGATCAAGCACAATCAGTTGATTCATCTATTGAGAAAACTGTTATTGACTCGACACGAAAAGATTCACTTCAACTGTCTCATGATTCTAGTAAAATCGAAGCTTCCATTGGTCAAGATGCTCAGAAAACTTTAGAAACTACAACCGAATCAAATAGTAAAGCGATCTTCAATCGAAGTTGAATCAATTCAAAATACGATTACTGATACTAAATCTACAGTCTCACCTTCAACAATGGATTCATCTAGCGAAGGTAATGAAGCAGATTTGGATAACAACGAGGCCAAAATTTAGAGTTCAGAAGTCATTTCAACAACATCCGTTTCTTCAACCCAGCAAATTAAACTGGATAGAAAAACTTCAATTGTTTCTTTAAATTCAGAAGAAAACCAAATCCACGTTCCATCAATAGATGTAAATGTTAACGCTGATGCACCTCCAAAAGTTGAACTAAAAGACGATTTCGTAACGGATGAGCTTCTTGAGTCCCTGACTCAAGTACCCATCAAGAAACGCAATATCAAGGCTTTAGAGATGATAAAGTATCAGAAGTAAATAAGATTTGTAACCAGCTAATAAGTGAAAACAAGTAAAATCGAGTAATCGAAAACTCAAAGTGAACCTCAAAATCAATTGGAAAATTTATCAGCAGATGATATAATAAAGTTATCCAAAAAATGGAGAGTGATGATGTTATCAAAAGAAACAAAGCTTTTCATGAAAATTCAAATTCAGAGAGCAATAAAAGGATAAAACTTCATTTGCTAAGGTGTATAAAGAATCAGATGAAGATCTTACAGTTTCGAATATGAAACTGGAGGTTTCAACCAGTAAAAAAAATAAAATCAGAGCCTAGTCAATTAGTAGATAATTCAAGTGATATGCCATGAAAAATGAGAAGAGAAACAAAATTTATATCAATCGTGTAAAGAGAGATATTTTTTTAATTGTGATTACAATTGTCTATTGCTATCAATCTAAACCAATCATATCTTGATTGAACTCTCTCTCTCTCTCTCTCTCTGCGTATAAAATAAGTTTTATCATCTCATTTTTCGTGGCTGTATTACCGAGCATTGTGAAGTGTGTTGATAAGACAAATAGACATTTGATCATGAGCTTGATAGAATCTGTTTATTCATTTACTACTGATCAATTGATTGGCCCTTATCATGAATTGGTGTTGATAATGATTACTAACTGAAATGTTGTGATTTCTTGGATTGAGAAAGATTTGGTCCAACATTTCGTTTTTGGGTTAGAATGAAGATGAGATGATTGAACCTCCATTTTTGGGTCAACATTATGATGATAAAGCAATCTAAAGATAGCAAATAAAGAGACACATGTATATGGATCTTCACCTCTCTGCTCTTTATCTCATCCATCTTGTTGTTTTTCTTGTTTTATCATGTCAACAATAACAGTTACTATCTCGATATGATAACAATACAGTTATCTCATTTTGGGAATCCTAACCACGCAATCAACTATCATATCAATGTGGTGTCAAAATTCATGATGAAATTAACTAGTGAAAAGTTTATCATATTTGAAACTGATCGTTCGAGATTTGAATCGAGTGAAAATCTAAATTTTAGTTACGTAGGCGTTTAGATTAATAATTTAATATTAATTGCGAAATGAAATTCGTGACATTCAGCTTGAGCTTTTTTCAGAATCATTATCTTTTACCCTCCATTTATACCTAATGACAAGGAACTTACCTGTAACCATTTCGAATAGTAGATTGAGTAAAGACTCGTTCTTACTGGTTTGTAGGCAATGTTCACCATTCCGTTTGATTGGATGACCATTTTTTCAAATGAGGCCACAATACGATCTCTTTTGGCCTTGTTCTCAGCAAGCTGAGCATAATCGGAAATCAAACGGGTAACAGGATCACGAACAATGAGGATAAGCTTAATGGATGAATTCATTGCGTGAATTCGATGTGGTACTAAATCGGTGATGAAATAAGCCGGTGTTTTCTCAATGGTCACTTGGCCAGGGAAAGAGTAAGGCATTTGTTTACGATACCAATCGAGACCATAACCATATTTGACATTATCATTGAAGAAATGAACCTCATCGGAGACCTTTTGTATCGATGGGTGAAGATTGAGAAACTCGAGGAGAGCTCGAGTTCCACCTTTACGAACACCAATGATGATACAACTTGGAAGTTGACGACGAGTTCGAGAAAAGTGTACATTAACTGGTGGAATATTTTGATGATGGTCAACCAGAATATCTTCAATTTCCCCGGGAGATGATAACTCGTCCTTCTTATAATAACCATTTATCTCATTCTTATCCTCATTGTAATCGGTGTTCAGTGATTCATTGCCATTATCATCCATCGAGTGCCTGTAATAGGAAAAGTATCATTGATTAGAATCACTATTCAAATGCTCTATTCTGAGTTTTCTTCATGAGAAATTTATCTATCATGTTATGAATGAAAAATAAAAGTTGATCATCATCAATTATATTCATTGAGTGATAGCAAATAATCATAACAAAGACATTTAATGTAACATGAAGATGAATGATGATCTATGAATGTAATCCACTAATCATGTTATTAATCAAAGGTATTCTGACAATGAACAACATGGTAAACTTGATTAGTAGAAGGTAACATTTAATTGTTCAGTGTAAATCTATTTAGTTTTTGTTAGTTTGTTGTTCAAACTACTATCAAATTGAATAGACAGATTAATGGAAAGGTAAACAATTTAGATGAGTAAATTGTGAACCTTTATTATTGTAAAGACTCAACAGAATTCATTCTAAGGTAATTAAAGGAATTGATTAATGAGGCTCCATTGAGAAAGAGAAATTGATTAAGATAATTATGAGAGCAAGATAATCATTCAAGTGAACAATTTGCTCTAGTTATTTGTCTTTCTCTCTCTCTCTCTCTCTCTCTCTGATCTTTAATCTCTCTGTAGATATAATCAAGACACTACAGTGATTTAATCTTATGACACTAATGAAGAACCTGAAATGTACATTTAAATGCAATTTCAACAGATCAGAATTCTTGAGAGATATTCCAATGGTATTGAGTTAAATCGAGTTACAAGAGGAAATTTTGGTGAAAAGGATGAGGATGAACAAGAAAAAAAGGTGTACCTGAAGTGCAGATTTAATTGGTGAGGTGGAGATTTAGAAAATGCAAGAGAAACTGATAACAATTTAGAAGAAAGAAAAGAAAAGTTCTCTCTTGTAATAAATATAAATTTCCATCGTATTCTGAGCATCTCCATGTTATCAGGAGTTTCTTTCCATTCACTACTAAGAATTTAATATCGATCCTGAACACTTCAACTGAAGAACAATGTTCATAATATGACATTGGATGAATTTAGAACAGAACTTTTCTTTCCTTTTTGTCTCACCGATAATATTGGAATCATAATTATTCAAGAAGGATTAATTAGGTTTATCATTTACCTTAGAAATTGAATAAGATTTACTTTCGGTTAACTTAGAATTCAAAATGTCATTCAAAATTCACTCACAGTTTTCCCGATTCTCTGTACAATACAAACTACTATTTAAGTCAGCTTATCCACTATTTATTAATCATGTTAATGATTCAACCTAATTGCGTTGATTTGATCTGTTAGATCGAGTTAAAATTAATCTGAATGAGCATCATGAAGATTTCGTTATTAAATAGAGTTATCATTATCTGGGAATTTTGTTAACTATTCTGGTGGAGTAAAAAATCAAACTTGAGGAGTTTTGTGTTTCTATGATTTTTTTTTCATGCGATTCTTGTGGAAGCTCAATATTAGACGGAAAGTTCAGATTCGAAAGCTAGAAAATCTGTATTCACCAAGCGAAATTTCAATCACATGAAGGAATGAATTTCAATGTTCGAACAACAATTCGAGCCATTAACTCAATTAATGGATCAAATTATGATCATATGCAAAATCAAAGTTTATAATCTCGCTAAATGATGTATTTACATTGCATACATTGTAATTAGATTGACTGGTCAGCGGATAAACACAATTCTGACCACAAGTACTTCGAGACACGAAAAATTTTATTTTCAAAAACGAGCTACTTATTATTCATCCAGACAAGTCATCTTAATCTCTAATGTAAATGCTTCAATATTGGTTCCTAGTAATGTACATGTACGAATGCAAATCAATAATATCTCATATTTTTATTCATTTCTTTTGAAAGTTTCAGTAAGAACTCTGTTTCTAATGGGGAATATACTAGTCAATAACTTTGCTATCTCAATCAAAAGTTTGGAGTCCTCAATGACTTGGAAAATTAGCTTATTTTCATAACATCGAACCAATTTCATCAATAAAAAACCAACACTATTTTTCCTTGTGATTGCTTGACAATTTCATGAATTAAAGCAGAACTTACCTGTATCCATAAGTATTTTCATTGAAAATATAGCCAGTTTCACTCCCTTGGTTAACCTCAAGTTGATCGTGATTGGCACCTTGATTGTTATCGCCTTTATCTTCACTTCTCCTCTTTGCCAATCTACTCGATTCACCATCACCACCACCACCATTATCAAGACATGCAGCCAATGATTTGAGACCATAGTTATTAAATGAAATAAGATGAAATAGAATACAAAAAGAAGCCAGAAAAGCCAAAATAAAAGCAATAAAGTTACGATTTCTGAGCTTGGGACGTGATTTATATCTGAAAAGAAACAAAATAAAAATTAGTCTCAATCAAAAAACAACATGATACAAAGATTCTCATGATGTTAGCTGATATAACTGAATATTGACGATATAAATTCAGCTCACAATTGAGTCGAAAGTTTCAATTGGCTCAAGTTGAATTTTAGGTAATCATCTAAACGAGTATCGGTGTTAATGATTATCAATGAGCAAAAATAATAAGAGATTCTGATTTTTACAATAATAAATACGAAATAAATGACATTTTCTAAGCTCAATTATTCCGAAGAGAAACAGAATAGCTACAACTCCATGTAAAATATTTCAAGTATCAAAATGTTTCTTACCCTGTGATCTATTCATTTCTTGAGTCAATTTAATTGCACAGAACAATTTGTAATAATCTTAAAGGGTAATACAAAATTGCTTTAGAATATGAAAGATATTGACAACGTAACATTTATTGCACTCACAAGTAACAATAATTCAGGTAAGAATATACATAAGGAATTACTAAAGGTAATTCAAATCATAAAACGATACAAATAAAACTAAAGTAATTTGTGATATTCATGATATAAATGAATCGGTAGACTATTATTTCAAATTTTATTCAACACAATCAAACTCCCAGAATATTTCTCGGTAGATTTATACACATATTAATAATATCCAGTTTTCTAATTGAACTAAGTATTATCTTCGTTATTGTGATTTAATCTTTAGATTATTAGCATTCTATTCGTCTAATTGGAATCGATGTTGACATATTAACAGAAAAACGATTGATAAGATGAAAGCAGGTCAACATTCACCATAGATAATAATGATGGCGAAGATTATAAGAATATCGCAAATATTTTTTTCTTCAAATCAACTGAAAGGTAAATTGGAACATTGAATGGAAATTAGTAAAAGAAAACAGTTATTCTGATCAATAGAAATTCAATAGAGAACAGAAAAACTGATGAAGCAATCAAATTGTTTCATTCTAATCTTTAAGAAAATCTAAAGCTAATAATCAACTGAAATCCGAATTTATCAGGATGCTATCGAATTTTTTTCTCTTTCAATCACTTGGATTCATCAAGTTTAAGGCCAATGGAGATGATGATTTAATATGATATCATTTCAATTCTGTAAACTTAATCTTGTCTTTTTTCACTCATCCAGCTTAAGAAAATGATTAGTTTTCTGATTCTCGTTGATCTAATGAGAAGAGGAAAAAAAGTATTAAAATCTTATCCTGAAACTTTTTCTCAAACTTAGATTTCCAAGAAACAATCTAATTATTTTAAGCTGTTTAAATGAGATGAAATCTCCTAAACAATTGATTCTAATTAACTTGAAACTAAATTTATTTTCATTCTCAAATGTAATTTTTTGTTAATGTAAACTGAACAAGAATAAGCTTAACATTATAATGGATAATAAGATAAACAATTGTAATTTCAATTGTAATCATAGTGATGATAAACATGATGAACAATGTGATGAGCGTATAATTTATTTGATCATCATGATGCTTGGAATATAATTTTTTTTCATAATTTACCATGTAATCAGAGATTTGAGTTTAAAAGACTTGAAAAGTTTAACTCAAAATTCAAGTTAGAATAAGATTCATTGGATCTGTTCATTGTTATCATGATAAAGTATAAATGATAAAAACCATGAGTAAAATCTAGTTTTCAGTTCATGGAAATGCTGATTAAATGTTAAGAACAATTTTCACCAAAAGAGAACAAAAAATGTACATTTGTCTATTATTCTTCATCTAAATCAATCCAATCTTGATTAAACTCTCTCTCTCTCTTCATATTCAAAGCAATGAGTTTCGAAGTGTTTATTGAGAGAGTTTGAATGGAGAATAGAAATTTTCTTTCCTTTACAAAGAGAATTTCAATTGTTTCCTTTCTCGCGAATAACTTTTCGTTTTCATTTTTTCTGTTGTCAGAATTTACTATGAGTCTACTTTTCCTTTGAGACTTTCACACACACACACACACAAACTATCGACTGAACATACAGACTGTGAGCTCTTCACTGAAATGTTCCTCTATTGGAAAAGATGATAAAGAAAATGATTGATCTTGAAGTTGCCCTGAGGACATGAGCTAACAAGCTATTTTAGCATTTTTCCCATTGTCAAGAGCCTCAAGTGTTGAACCTAAAAAAAACTCAATTCTCCCCTGATCGAACCAGAAAAAAAGGTAACTAATATTATAAACTGAAACTATTTAAGTTTTTGAAAATTATGATATTTCAAACTGAAGTTTGGGTCATCAATGAGCAAAATAAATCGTTTTTACCCTAGAAAATATAATTAAGTTCTTACAATGAGCATGGTAATAAACTCAGACAAATTATTGGATTTCGATGAGCATAATCAATTGAATTGGAGAGCAAATTTGATTAGTTGAATACAATCATCACCATGATAATACTTTTACAATGATCATAAAAGAGGCAACAGAAATAACAATAATTATTAACTGAAAGATAACCGTTATGTATGAATTCAATACTCTGCCCTTCAAGGTAAATAAGCTGTTGTTTGAATACATGTAAATACCCAATGAATCAAGTTATTAGTCTGGTGCTGAGTATGTCTACTGAAGACTGAGAATATACTTGACCATCTTCAATCCTATTGAATACTCAAAATTTACCTCTATCAAACTGTAGCTTAACCATTGCTCAGTATCTTCATAAACCTGGCTCACCTTCATCTCCATCTTCATCATCATTCCCAAGGAAGAAGATGAAATTATCGAATAATCTCTTCTCTTTCTTTCTCTCTTTCTTTCTGATGATACTTGATTTGTTTAGTTCTGTGTTGTAATTGACCATGTTTTGGCGATCACCATTTAGAAAATCACTCAAATCATTTTTTTTCAAAATATTCAGTCAAGTTGAACAATCTATCAAAGTGTCATCATGATCAATAGAATCACATTCTCATTGGAATATGAAATTGAGCTCAGTGAAATAAATATTTTAACCAGAGGAAAAAAAACTGAATGCATACAGAGAGATGCAGAGAGGTATGATGAGAGACTGAAATCATTAAGGAAATGATTGAAATTGATTATTTCTACTATTCAGTTGTGTCTTTAATAAAGTTAATTCATTGAATGTAAAAGGATTTATCGGATTGATCAACTTACCTTGATTGATACAAACCAATCGAAGGCATATTCATAATGATCATACTGTTGATCCTGTATGAGTATGCAAGCTAATCTGTTTCCAGGTAGAAAACATCAGAAATCAATACCAAATATGATTGAGTAAATCAAAGTAAATTGACACATAATTAGAAGATTGCAGTTGACACAATAAAACGGCTTCAACATGAGAGCATTTTGATGATGGTGATGACGGAATCAATTAAGGTGGACACACATAAAAATAGATGGACAACATTTGAGTTTTCACATCCACGATTTCAACCCTTGATTATTTAGGGTTAATGATATGATTGGTAATAGAGAAAGAGAGAGGCTATTTTCTAGGTGGATTTGAGGATTTTGGGAGATTCTGAAACCAAGGCTTGGATTATCAGCAAACAGGCTTAATATTTCAATGTGATGGATAAAAAAATACAACGAAAATCATCAACAAAATGATTATTTGAAAACCATTAAGTTCTTAATTCTCTGAGCGCATTCTCATATTCCAGAACTTTATCATGAACTTAAGCTCCATCTTCTGATTCTCATCGAAAAAGTTTATTGTTAAATGAAGATATCGTAATTTAGACATACTAAAAGTAACAACTAATATATTTTGGGACTAATTGAAGCAAATGAATAAACTTTTAATGCTCCTTATGAACTTTTTGATCCATCCATTGGAATAGCAGAACAAAAGAGTTCGATTACATTAAAGTAAGTTTTGAATTCGTTTGCAATTCGAACACATGAAAGAGGAAGATGATGAAGATAAAAAGAAAGAAGCAGTTGTTATGGTAACTTATTGAGAATTTCAACTCAATATTATATCATTTTCACATCTTTTTCTATTTCTTTCTTGAACCGCATCACTAGGATGAGGATGAGGATGAGGATGAGAATTTTGGAAAATCGATACTAAAATAATAAGATCGATGACAAGAAAAAGCATCCGCGAAGATGATTATGTTATTCTGTTATAATAACTGGAGAAGAATCGGAAAATCATGAAAAATTTCTCGTTTTCTTTCTTTTAGTTTATAATTTTAACCGTTTTCTTTCTCACCTTCCAAGTCTTTCGCCATCATGATCATCTAATGATATGAGATTCATACCAGAATCAAATTCGAAAGTGTCTTCGATCTCCAATACAACATGTATTTCGCTGATAAAATAGTCCATAATCAGATTCCTTATTTCGGTTGTTACGTAATTTGGACGATTCTTTAAACTTTTCTTTCTATTTGTGAATATCATTTCTCTAAGTTTCCAAACAGTTTCTTGTAATCGATCACAATTGGAATCATGTTTAACTTGTTATCCTTTTCCATTTCAAACATGTTAAAATTTTCCATTATTTGGTCAATTGCTTGTTTATTGTGCCAATTTCCTTCATTAGCGGTCAGTCGATGGCCATATGACCAGAGGTTATCCTCTGGTCACCATCAAAATAAACTTCCAACAACTGAGCCCTTGAAGGTAATCAACATCGGAGCTGTTCTTGAGTCAAGTGAAAGTATTGGTCAATTTTTCCAGGTAAATTGAAAATCAAACTCGAAAACTTTAAATTCATTGAGTTTAATTCATCTTTCTCATTCTCCAGGCTATTGAAGAGGTGAATATGGAGCCAAATGTCCTTCCTCCGGGAATATCTCTTTATGCAATTAGTAGTCCAGCCTCGCCTAATCCCGTTAGAATGGTTCACGAATTCTGTGAGAAAATGATCAAATCAGAAGTATGTGATTAGATTGAAAACAATTAGCGAATCACTTATTAATTGTTACTTTTTTCATTCCTAATTTTAAGGTTTATGCTGTTGTTATCGATGATGCTGATTCCCCCGAAGCAGCGGTTATATCGCAAACTTGTGATTTCCTCAATATTCCCGTTATCGGATTATCCAATCGAAATAGTTACTTGTCAGACACTCATATGCATTCTGTTTATCTACGGACTGTTCCACCTTATTCCCATCAAGTCGATGTTTGGATCGAGATGTTAAACACTCTTAACTATTCACACGTTGTTTTCATTCATGGCGCTGATTACGGCGGTCGAACAACTTTCATTAGATTCCAAGGACTGGCCGAAAAGTCTGGAATTCAAATAAGATCAGTGATTGAATACGAAACTGGTGTGACCGATATTGTCGATGAACTGGAAGAAGCCGATGAAGAAATTCAATGCAGAGTTTATCTTTTATATGCAAATGAGTTGGAAGCTCAGTCAATATTTCTCGAGGTTCTAAGGCTCAACATGACTTCACCGGGCTATGTTTGGATTGTATCGGAAGCGGCACTTCGAGCAACAAATGTTCCTGACGGTGTTTTAGCCCTGCAACTGTTTAATGCCAATAATAGGGCAAGTCACATCGTCGATTCAATTTATATAATTGGTTTAGCGATTCGTGATATGATTCCAATTGAAAATGTCACCCGTCCACCTTCAAAATGTGGTGATTTAACTGCCAACTCTTGGGAAACTGGATCTACTTTTTACAATTACTTGAGGAAACAATTTCTGCTCTATGGTAAAACGGGTCGGGTTGCTTTCGATGGTAAAGGAGATCGTATTGATGCTGAATATGAGGTCATCAATAGAGTTAGAGGTCGCTCGGTGTCCATTGGTCAATATGCTTTCTCTCAGTCCAAGATGAAGATGCATCTTACATTGAACATAAACGAGATCATTTGGCCTGGTTATCAAACGACTCAACCATTGGGCTATGTTCGTCCATCTCACTTGCGAATTGTTACCATTGAGGAGGAGCCATTCATCTTTTTCCACCCAGTGTCTAAAGCAGAAGAGTGTGTAGGGGACACTGTTCCTTGTGGTAAAATCGATGTGGCCACTGGAATGGAGCGAATGTACTGTTGTTCGGGTTATTGCATCGACTTCTTGGTCGATTTAGCGCGACGTCTCAATTTCACTTATACACTTTATCAAGTTGCCGATGGTGTTTATGGTAACTTTGAACATGTTAATGGCACCGATCAGCCGAAAGTTTGGACTGGACTTGTTGGTGATTTGATCTACAAAAAGGCAGATATGATTGTAGCTCCATTAACAATAAATCCAGAGAGATCGCTTTATATTGAATTCAGTAAGCCTTTCAAGTACCAAGGGATAACCATTTTGGAGAAAAAGTTACCCAAAAGAGCGGGACTGGCCTCGTTTCTACAGCCTTTCGAAGAGAGTCTTTGGTTGCTTGTTATGCTCTCGGTTCATGTAGTGGCCTTAGCATTGTACCTTTTAGACCGTTTCAGTCCCTTTGGTCGGTATAAGCTTCCCAATTCCGATGTAACCGAAGAAGATGCTCTCAACCTGTCATCGGCTATTTGGTTTGCTTGGGGAGTCTTACTCAATTCAGGCATAGGCGAAGGTACACCAAGATCATTTTCAGGTCGAGTTCTTGGTATGGTTTGGTGTGGATGTGCGATGATTGTTATCGCTTCGTACACTGCCAATTTAGCAGCTTTTCTCGTCCTTGAAAGACCAACAACCTCTTTGACCGGCATAAACGATGCTCGCCTTCGGAATCCAACGACCAGTTTCACTTACGCCACAGTCAAAGCGAGTAGCGTTGAAATGTACTTCAAACGACAAGTGGAACTAAAGGAAATGTACGAGTACATGATCGATAAAAACTATCCAACAGTCGAAGATGGTGTTGCAGCAGTGAAAAATGGTAACTATGAGAAGGAAAAGAAACAATTAAGAAAAAAGATTGATACTTCAATTTGATCTCAAGGGTATTTCCAAAGAGTAATAAGGAGAGATAAAACCTTATCGATTGTTAATCCAAGTTGCTATTACTCTTTGGTTTCGTTTAGAAACGACCAAAGTAAACCAACTAATCAACGCCTCAATCTACCTAAAAAATGATATTAATGGTGATAAAGAAAAAGATAAGATAAAAATGAAGGTGGAAATGAATTAGAGATCAAAGGCAAAGTGTTGACTTTTGCATCTTTGACCTTCATCATTAGCATCTTTTTAGATGAATAGTTTGTTTACCTTAGTCTTTTTTAAACGAAACCAAAGAGTAAGGAGCTACTACTCTTTGAACGAAACACTCTTGGCGATTTCATTCATTTTCATTCCAAACTTATGATAATCTTTTTCTTGGTTGTTTAGCTTTTTCTTTTGATGTTCAAATGTGAAATTTCATTAATATTACTGGTCTTCTATTTTTATCCATTTATATAAGATGAGATTTCAGCGTTCATTTGGGACTCGGCTCGATTGGAATGGGAAGCTGCGAAAGACTGTGATTTGATTACTGCTGCTGAACAATTTGGTCGATCAGGATATGGAATTGGTTTGGTTAAGAATTCATTTTGGACTGACCAGATGAACTCAGCGATTCTATCTATGCACGAATCAGGTTTCATGACTGATCTGGATAACAAATGGATTCTCTCTGAAGATATTGATGTTATTTGTCTTAACCGTTATGATCCTGTTCCGACAACCTTAGGGCTTCGTAACATGGCCGGTGTTTTTATCCTTCTCGGTGCTGGTATTTTTGGCGGAATCGCTTTAATTGTGATTGAAGTGGTTTACAAGAAGCGACAAGTCGCCCAACAGAAACAATTGGAAAATGCAAGATCGGCAAGCGAAAAGTGGAAAAGATTCGTTCAGGTAAGATTCCATTTCGGTTTCAATGCTCCTTCTACTCATTTCTTTCGAAACTTTTTTCTAACATTTTTCGTACTATAGAAACGACGTTTATATCGAGCTAATATTCACGCTCTTCGTCAAGAGCAACTTCGTCAGGAACACTTGAGATCTGAGAAAATTTTTCCAGCCAAATACGAATCTGAACAACCAAACAGAGATGATAAAATGAACGCCGATAGTTCATCTAATAACATGAAAAGAGTCTCAACATCATCACAACACACAGTCTATCATCAACAAGGAACAGGCCAAAAAAGATCACAACAACGAACACAAACACTGAGCTTCGAGCCGGATCATCAACCGCAACACCATCACTATGACAATTCACACCATCAAGATCAACCATTCACCGTAGAAAGAGGGTTAACCGAGATGAAAATGGAAGAGAACAGAAAAATGAGAAAAGAAGAGCCAGAAGAAGATTGTAAAATGATTACCCCTCCAAGTGAATATCAACGAGGTTATTATCAAGATCAAAGCAAAATGAGTGGATCATTGAGATCGACAACCCTTTCACCGCCCCCGCTTCCTTTGTCAACCACAGTGAAGTTCAATCAAGCAAGTGGTCAACTGCAATCAACTAGTAGCCCTCGATCATCACATTACTCTGATCCTCTCATGCAACATCTCCCACAGCAAAAACAACCTCCATCTAGACCATTACATCAAATTCAACCTCAACACTTTCAGCCCCACCAACAAGCACATTATCAAAAACCACCACCACCACCACCACCGCCTCCCCACCAAACACAGCACCAGTTTACATTATCATCTCATGCAGAATCTTGTTCATCATCAACTTTACCCACTTCTCATGGTTTACATCATCACCTGCCGCCTCATGTTCCTCCTCATCAAACGCACCCTCGTTCCCTCCATCAAGGTTACACTGCCTCGGTAACTCCATCACTCTCACGTTCTGCTCCATCGTCCGTCGAAATTGAAATGGCCAAATCATCACTGAGAAAAGGTAAACAACCAAAGGAAACTATTTCCTCCTCTTCAGTAATTAGTTCCAAGAGTGGATCAAAAAGTTCAGAAACTTCGAGAAAACGATTCTTGAAACGTGAATCTTCAATGAACTATGAAAGAGGATCCACTCCAGATAGTTACACTCGCGGCGGTGATTCAAGGCGAGGGACACCTTCCCCTAATCAAGGACATCTAATTAAACCTCCTCATGCATTAGTTTACTCATCGCGACCTCAAGATTTTAATTTCAGCTACGGTTACACTAATTAACTAATTATTATTGTTCAAATAATGGGATAAGAATTCATATTCCAATCAATTGTTCAAAGATTTAATTTAAACAATAATAAAGTAATTTTTTTCTTTGTTAATTGTTAGTATGTTTATAAGCCTAGAGATGGAAAATCTTGGACTTTCACCTTTTCTTTTTGAGATTAATCAAAAACTACAAGGTCAAGGTCATTCAATGAAGAACACACTTTGAGGTCATTTGAATTCGCATTCGTGTTGAGTAACTTGAATACGATTTGAAAAGTTTTACAAAAGTTTTTGATTTAAGTCTCATTCAGCTGATAATCTTTATTTATAATTAATAGTAATCTTTTTGTCCAAATGATTCAAAGTATTAATAACATTTTTCTGATAATTTTAATTTCCTATCAATCACAGTCAGTGCAATTTAACATTTAACTTTAAGGCAATACAAAGCAATTCCTTAGTCAATCTGGCACAAGTTAACCAAATCTATTAGTATGATAAAAGTTTTCAAGTCATCAATGGGTTGATCATGGTGATTCATTGAAAGTATCCATTGAACCATGGAAATATCCATACTAATAATTGGATGGTGGTTGTGAAAATGCAGAATTCAGCTCGTGTTAACATAGATGAATTTCTGAAATATGTAATTTCTCATTTTAATTATCACATTTAAGAGCCAGATGATTTCACTCTTAACCTGAGTCATTTTATCCAAGTTAAATCTTCTCAATGTTGTAGCTAATAGCACCAGTTAATCCAATCATCTCAGTATCAAGTAAATCCTAAAGCTAATTGTAAGTAATTAATATTTAATAAAATTGAAATTAACCCATGAAAAAGATATTAATAATGTTTATATCTTTCAACAAGCATAATAATAATAATAAGCGAAATTATCAACTGTGAATTGAATTTGATAACTGGATTGAGGCAAATTAATCAATTTGCAATTGCAAAGGGAACTTGTAATTGGATTAGAATTCAACTCGGTAAGCTGAGCAACTGCTCTCCTGATCCTGCAGAATAACTGAGCACCTTGAAGCCGATGGAGCGACTTCAATGTGAAGTGTTTCTAATGTTTTCTGATTGCTGGCCATCCATAAACACAACACTTCCGACTCATGGCTTGGTATCAAAGTCACTTCGGCGTTTACGTCTTCCCAGGTTTGTTTGCCTTCGATCAAAGCATTTAGAACTTCCTTGGAAGGGTTAACACCACTGAGAACATAATAACGAGCACGAATTTTTTTGAAATAATCAGCATTACAGTAATTACGATCACCATGGTGAGGAATATAAGCCAAGTCAAGATGAATGGGTTTTATTGGGTCATTTGTAGATTCGGATCGGCGAGTAGAAGTATTTCTTTGGGCATCGGTTCGATCAGATGATTTAGCACGAGACTTGGATGTTGATCTATTACCCTTTGAATCGGTGGGATCAGTTGGCTTCGGAAGTCCAAGAGGATTACCCCACTCTTTAAGTGTCGATTCTTTCTCTTTAATTTGCTGCTCACTCAAATTTTCCGTTTGAAAAGTCACAATTGTCTCTAATCTTTCAGGAGATTTTGACTTTTCCGTTTTGTCTTCTCTCTCTTTCTTAAGCCCATCCACCTCAACAGACCTTGGAAAGCAGCACAAGCCAGACTTAGAATCTTGTGGCGATGTGATGTCCATCGAAGTGTTTTCTGAATCTAAAACTCTTTTTCGAGTAATAGTTTTGTGATCATCAACTTCTTGTGAATGACTGGCCTCTGGATGGACATCAGAACCTTTAACTTGATGTGATTTTGAATCTTGGTCAATCTTGCATTGAGATAAGTCGCTAGTATCTTCTTCGTCGGGGATTTCGTATAAAACTTGACCAGCCATTTGTGCAGATCGGCGTAAGTGAACGGAGGGCATATCAGCTGATGTAACAAACTGCGTTGTCGAGAAACTGGTTCCTGGTGATGCTTCAACCTTGGAAATAAACTCATCTGAAGTGACTTTTACTGGCGAGAAGCTCATTTTCTCTGTCTCCTCGATTTTATCAATCGTTTCCTCTTTAATCACCTCTGGTAAGATGATATTAGTTAGTTTATTCTCTCGGTGAATAGCAGAGAAAAGTTCAGTGTTTGTTGATGCCTTTGCGAGATTCCCGTTCTCTCCATCACTAGTTCCAGATCTTATAGAAACTCCTTTATCAACAATATCACAAGACGATTTATCAAGAGTTTGGCCAGGTAACGATGGAAATTTATGTGAGCTTGTAACATTGCTTGAAGAATGAGTTTCTGAAGTTGATCTGGAAATTTCATTATTCAAATCATAGTTCGTCAAACTTTCGTTTTCTGATTTCGAAGAATTTTTATCTACTGTAGTTACGTGTTCTGTTACAATTTTTTGCGAGTCTTCGAAAGTAATAACCGCACTTTTGACTGATTCTCCATTGTATATTTCCGTTTCCTCTTTAAGGCACTCGCTTGCCGGAAATTCCTTATTAGATTCTAATGAATTATCGGATTTTGGCCTCGAGATTGCTGCTTCTGTGTCAGCTTTAAATTCACGATCAACAATTTGCGAATCGCTTGAATTTGATTCAGAAACTTTTTCACTGGTTTTCGATTCTTGTTTAGTTATATTCTTCCTCTCAATCGAATCGTATTGGGTTTTTGGTTGTATTTGGGACGATGTTGCCGATGATTTAGTCGTATATTCTTGGAGTTTATATTCTGTTGGGTGGTCAACTGAGCTTCTCTTCGAGGAAGTTGCTTCTATTTTGTCTAATTCTGAATCTCTATTCAATGAACTTTTTCTTGCTTCTAACTGGTTATCAGAACTGCTACTATATGAATCTGAAGTTTCTACCATTTGAATTTTTGTCTCTTCAACGAATCCACTTCCAATTATAACCTTTTCGATCACTTCAGAGTCTTTGTGGGTTTTTGATCCAATTAAGCTTACGGATGGATCGAAATCTTCTAGTTTTTTATTCGAATCAATCTCCAATTGCATAGATTCTAGAGTTGCATTTTCAACAATTGAACTCGAAATTCGATTGTCTTCATCAGATCCTGACTTTTCTGGTAGAGAAGTCATCATGTGTCCATCTTGAGTAAGTGAGTCCGAGTCTTCAAGATAGAAGTGAGTTTCTTCATCAACTGAAGTGAAAACACCAAATTTAGAATCAGAATTAGTATTCACTTCGGATGATGTAGACTCTGATTTGTTTAAATGTCCGAATCCTCTAGAATTGTTTCCTAAATCCTCGTCATTGCTCTTGTTTTTCGATATTTTCTCAACTGCATAGTTCGATATAGCAGATTCAGTAGATTTATCCCCAATGGGAGAATCATTTTCGGTCCAAATTTTATTTAGTTCTGTTCTAATTATTGATGAAGAGTCTGCATATGGAATGTTCATTAATTCATCAGAAATACAGTGTCCAGATTCTGATGATTTCCAAGTTTCATCTTTTGATGGAACGTGGATTTGGTTTTCTTCTGAATTTAAAGAAACAATTGAAGTTTTTCTATCCAGTTTAATTTCCTGGGTTGAAGAAACGGATGTTGTTGAAATGACTTCTGAGCTCTGAATTTTGGCCTCTTTGTTATCCGAATCTGCTTCATTACCTTTGCTGGATGAATCCGTTGTTGAAGATGAGACTGTAGATTTAGTATCAGTAATCGTATTCTTAATTGATTCAACTTCGATTGAAGATCGATTTATTATTTCGTTTAATTCGGTTGTAGCTTCTAAAGTTTTCTGAGCATCTTGACCAATGGAAGCTTCGATTTTACTAGAATCATGAGACATTTGAAGTGAATCTTTTCGTGTCGAGTCAATTTTAACCTCTGTGTGTGAGTCTTTTCTCTCAATGGTATTTTTGTCTCCTTTGATCGATAATTCCTCCGAATCTGTTATCGTCGATAATGAATCCACTACCTCAGTGTCTTTGTAACTAATTGACTCTCTTCTAGAATCCCTAGAATCTGGTTCACCTGATTTCGATAAATTATCAGAAATCGAAGCGGTTGATTGTCTTCGTGAATCAACTGAATCCTCTCCGGAGCTTTTTAAAACTGCTTCCTTCTTGTCTTCTTCTAATTTTTTAACAATTGAATCTTTTCTTTCAGAATTCTGTTGACTCGTGGCTTCTTTGGTACTTTCGTGTAACACTTTTATAGAGCCTTTTCTCTCTTGGATGGTTTTTTCGGCATCACTTTGGGCCGGTTCTGGTGATTTGACAATATTATCAGGAATTGAAGCGATTGATTCTTTTCGTGAATCAATATTACTACTTATCACTTCTTTAGCTTGTGAAGAGACTGAATCTTTTTTCATAGATGTTTTCTCTTCAGTACTTGATTCGATTTTATCAACAACCGAATCTTTTCGAGAAATATTTTCTATTTTTTCAACAATCGTTTTTGATGTTGTTCCATCCGATGAAGCGATCGATTCTTTTCGTGAATGAATATTACTACTTATCACTTCTGCAGATTGTGAAGAAACTGAATCTTTTCTCATAGACATTTTCTCTTCTGTACTTGTAATTGATTCAATTTTCTCTACAACAACCGAATCTTTTCGATCAATAGTCTCAGTCACTTTAGGTGTTGTTCCATCCGATGAGCGATTGATTCCTTTCGTGAACCAACGAAATTCTCTTCAGAACTTTTTACAATTGTTTCCTCCGACTCTTCTATCATTGATCCAGAGTCTAACGCTTTAGCGATCGACTCTTTTCTTTCAGAATTACGTCTACTCGCAGCTTCTTCAGTGCTTTCTGTTGACACTTTTATAGAATCTTTCCTCTCTAGAGTTACTTTTACGTCATCAATCGTGCTCGGTTTTACTGATGCCGTAACATCACCAGAAAGTGAAACGATTGATTCTTTTCGTGAATCACTTTTGCTACTGATCACATCGTTAGCTTGTGTATCAACTGAATCTTTTCTTATAGTTGTTTTCACTTCGGTGCCAGAAATCGATTCAACTTTATCTAAAACTGCCGAATCTTTTCGAGAAACATTTCCAATCGTTTCCACATCTTCACCGATCGCTGATCCATCCGATTGCTGATGAATACTGGTTACAGACGCTTTTCTCGAATCTTCTTTGCTGATTGTTTTCACAGTTTCGAAATCTATTGACTCTTCCTTGTCCTTCCTTTTACACACTTCAGTTTCTTCTTTGATTGAACTTTCTGATTTCTCAGAAGAACCTTTAGCAGCCGAATTTATTTCGTATTCATTTTGTGTATTTTCAGTTTTTTCTTCGTTGGAAATCAAGGAGTCTTTTTCCAAAATGTTTGTTGTTAGATTGCAATCCGTTACTGGAGTAGATTCTACAGAAGTTTTCAAAGTTCCTGCACTTTCTTGTACAGTTTGGTGTTTTTTCTGGTTGCCATTTGACTGATCAATTTCAAAACTTTTCGATGTATTAGATTTTGTTGATGGTTCCATTTTGGATTCAGAACTTTGTAAAGTTTCAAATGATATTTTTTCATGTTTACTATCATCAAAATCTGTTGAACTCTCTTGCTGGTTAGATTCTAAGGCTTCGAAGCTCGTATTCTCTTCATTGGGTTTGGTTATCACAGAAGAACAAGATGAAGTTTCAAGCTCTGACTTTACTTCTTTGGTAGTCATTTGCTCAGCTGATTGATTTTCCGATCCATCATTTTGATTCTTTCCACTTCCATCTTTATCAGTATCTACCTTTAGCAATGATACCGAGTTAGATGTGATCAAATTGGTGGCCGCTTCTTGAATAGGTTCGTCCAATGGTTTAGATTTACTCGATTTAATCTCTTTTACGGATTCATGTTTGTCACTTTTAGCAGATGAGCTCATTTCACTTTCGAAATGTTCAACAAGTAAAGGGTCTTTCGGTGATTTCGGATCTTCGATTTGATTGTTTTCAAGAGCGGAAATTTCTATTGGTCCACTAATGGAATCATGATCAACGTTGCTCTTTTCTTCCGAAATTGATTGTTTTCTATCATCTTCAGATCTCTTATCAGAATCAAAAGCCAACTTTTCATTATTTTCGATCAATACTTGTCTTTCATTCGACATCATGATTCCAATATTTAACGATAAAGATTCTGAATTTCTCACAGTATTATCACTTTTTGATTCTTTTTCTGTTGAAAATTCTTGAGGTTTTTCAGATTCCAATGCATATGGAGATTTAATATCTTCTTTTGTGGGTGAATCGTCTGGTATTTCAAGGTTCGAAGTTGTTGTTTCGACTTTTTCATTCGTGAAACTTGAAGTCGTATTGTTATTTGAATCTATTTTCACGTCGTATTCGGTAACATTTTCACTGGATTCAGTAAGTAGTTCTTTCTTGGTAGCAATCAACTCGCCTTTTAGATGAGGTGCAGATAATGAAAGTTGAGTATCGTCGCCAGATTTTGATTGTGAGTTTTCTGGCATTGATTCATTAGTTTTATCAATAATTTTTTCATTTAGTAGCTTTGATGATTCTGAAGTTTCAATTTTGGACTCGAAATCCTCTTGCAATGATTGAGAATCAGAACATTTAGTTGGGGAGAAGTTCAAATATGTATCACTTGAATTATCCTGATCCTTTTTATTGCTCTCTGAATTTGAATTTTCATGGAAAGTTTCGTTTTCTTTTAATGATTGAGTTTGAGTATTAGACTCGTCAATTCTGATATTTTCCCTTATTAGCTGGTTATGAATCTTATTTACTTCTTCTGATACTTTATCATCTCTAAAGTCTTGATATTGCGATTCCTTGGTGGATACATGAGTCTGGGACTCAAGAAGCTCATCCGTTACGAAATCGTCTTTTAGTTCAACTTTTGGAGGTGCATTAGCGTTAACATTTACATCTATTGATGGAACGTGGATTTGGTTTTCTTCTGAATTTAAAGAAACAATTGAAGTTTTTCTATCCAGTTTAATTTCCTGGGTTGAAGAAACGGATGTTGTTGAAATGACTTCTGAGCTCTGAATTTTGGACTCGTTGATATCCAAATCTGTTTCATTACCTTTACTGGATGAATCTGTTGTTGAAGGTGAGCCTGTTGATTTAGTATCAGTAATCGTATTCTTAATTGATTCAACTTCGATTGAAGATCGATTTATTATTTCATTTGATTCGGTTGTAGCTTCTAAAGTTTTCTGAGCATCTTGACCAATGGAAGCTTCGATTTTACTAGAATCATGAGACATTTGAAGTGAATCTTTTCGTGTCGAGTCAACAACAGTTTTCTCAATAGATGAATCAACTGATTGTGATTGATCATCTAATACATTCGAAGTCTCCACAATCAAACTAGATTCTGAGGTCAGAGTTTTATGAGTACCCATTTTAACCTCTGTGTGTGAGTCTTTTCTCTCAATGGTATTTTTGTCTCCTCTACTCGACAATTCCTCCGAATTTGTTATCGTAGATAATGAATCTACTATCTCAGTGTCTTTGTAACTAATTGACTCTTTTCTAGAATCCCGCTCACTTGTGGTCTCTTTAATGATTGTTGATTCTATCGACTCTTTCCTCTTTCCAATTTTTTTACCGTCTTCACTCGTATCTTGTTCAAATGATTTCGATAAATTATCAGAAATCGAAGCGGTTGATTGTCTTCGTGAATCAACTGAATCCTCTTTGGAACTTTTTCTTACAGTTCCCTTCGAGTCTTCTTCTAATTGTTTAACAATTGAATCTTTTCTTTCAGAATCTCGTCGACTCATGGCTTCTTTGGTACTTTCAGATGACACTTTTATAGAGCCTTTTCTCTCTTGGATGGTTTTTTCGACATCACTTGGGATCAGTTCTGATGGTTCCACAATATTATCAGGAATTGAAGCGATTGATTCTTTTCGTGAATCAATATTACTACTTATCACTTCTTTAGCTTGTGAAGAAACTGAATCTTTTCTCGTAGACATTTTCTCTTCATTACTAGCAATTGATTCGATTTTATCAACAACCGAATCTTTTCGAGCAATATTTTCTATTGTTTCAACAATCGCTTTTGATGTTGTTCCATCCGATGAAGCGATTGATTCCTTTCGTGAATGAATATCACTACTCATCACTTCTGCAGATTGTGAAGAAACTGAATCTTTTCTCGTAGATGTTTTCTCTTCAGTACTTGATTCGATTTTCTCTACAACAATCGAATCTTTTCGATCAATAGTCTCGATCACTTTAGGTGTTGTTCCATCCGATGAAGCGATTGATTCCTTTCGTGAACCAACGAAATTCTCTTCAGAACTTTTTACAATTGTTTTCTCCGACTCTTCCATTATTGACCCAGAGTCTAACGCTTTAGCGATCGACTCTTTTCTTTCAGAATTACGTCTACTCGTAGCTTCTTCAGCACTTTCTGTTGACACTTCTATAGAATCTTTCCTCTCTAGAGTTACTTTTACGTCATCAATCGTGCTCGGTTTTACTGATGCCGTAACATCAGCAGCAATTGAAACCATAGATTCTTTTCGTGAATCTTTGCGAGAAATATTTTCTTGTGTTTCCGCATCTTCTTTAGTTGATCCTTCCGTTCCATAAATAGCAGCACTTTCGAAATTGTTGACCTCTTTAATTAACGAGTCTTTTCTGTCAGCGTTTTTTTCTGTTGCTGATTGGTCAGTCGCATTTTCTTCTTTTGTAAGTTGTGATTTTTCACTTTTGCTCGTCGACATTAACTGTCCATTCTGGTCTATCAACTCAGCTTCTTCTTGTTCAAACGACAACTTTTGATCCTCATTTGTACCAATCGTCAGTTGAATTTCATCTTTAGCCGAATCAAAGGTCGTGATAATTTCACTTTCAGTCTGTTTCGTTTCATCACCAATTTTGCTCACTTTTTTCTCCGTGATAAGATCAGTGATCTGCTCTTTTTTGTTGGCTGGAATTTCAGATTGGATGGATTCATCGATAAACGATTCACCTTCTTTTGAATCGATAGAATCCTTTTGTGATTTACTTTCGATTTTATCTGAAGTATTTTCAATGATTTTCGCATCTATTTCGAAACATTCATTGTTTGAATCGACATTTGGTTCAATTGTAGTCATCGAAGTTTCAATCTTGTCATTGGAAGTCTCATTTTCATGAGTTCCTGGAATTGTATCACTTTTATCATCTTCAATCTTTTCATCTGATTGAGATTCATGATATTCAGTCACTTTATTCTCACCTTCAAATTGGTTTATTATAATGTCTTTCTGTGAATCTGTTGACAGATCTTCATCACCGGAGATGGAATATCTTTTACTTTCTTTTGACACCAAATTACTATCAACGTTTCTTGTCTCATCAACTTGATTGATTTGCGAACTTTGTCTCCTATTTTCAATGGAACTTTTTGATTCAATCGATTCTTCATCAGATTGTTTCATAATTTCTTGCAGCTCCGATTGCAAACTTCTGTGTGAATTGCTCGGGTCGTTTGATCTTCGACGATTTTTCTCGGTACGAGACATCTCAGTCGATTGATAGGCCTGATTGTTATCAATTTTTGAGGTTAATGAGGCCACTTCTGCGTCGGAATCATCGATCCTTTCTCCTGAGATAACAGTCATATTGGATGAAAGAGAGGAAAACATGGCTGATTGTAATTCGGAATCTTGTTGAACAGGCGATGATCGGGACTTCATTTCTTCATCATCCTCTCGTGACATCGTTTGTTCCAGTTGAGATGTCGAACGGCTATCGCCGGTTATCACTTCATCTTCCGAGTGTTCCAATGAATCTCTACATATCTCGGAATTTCCATAGATATCATGAGATTCTAATGAATCAGGTTCAACTTCATCTCGGATATGATCAAGAAAAGGGATTTTTCGAGGACTTGCGTCTTCTGAACCTTTCCCTGAATCACGGTGATCGTCTTCACTATAAGTCTCACGGGCCTCTTGTACTTTAGAATCGGTTGCATCATAATCGATTATGAGACCTTGTTTATTATTATCTTTCGCTGTTTCTTTAGTTTGTTTGGTTATTTTTTCTTTCGCTTTTGGTGGCGATTGTTTCGTATTAACTTGAGGTCGAACTTTTCTCGTAACTGCTCGACTTTTATCGTTTGTTGATTCAGAAGATACTTCAGAACTTTTTGCAATAGTTTTCGATATAACTGATGTTCGACTTGTACTACTAGTCCGTGGCTTTGTTTTCCGCTCGGTGCGACCTTTATCGGTCTTTTTATCTCCTTCGATTGTTTTTTTCGAACTTTCTTCAGTAGTTTTTTCCCTTGAATTTTCCGCCTTTTGTGTCAACAAAATATTCGATTTCCTTTTAATTGGTGACGATTGAGACTCTGAACTATCCCCACCTTTATCTCCAAGATCAGTTGAAGTTTGTTTAGCATAAGTAACACGGGATTTCCTTAAGGTTGGAGAAACTGACCTGTAACGAGTGGATGACGAACCAAATTTCTCGTTAATCTTGAAAGAAGTCGATTTAACCGTTTGCTTTTGCTTCGATTGTTGTTTAACTGTTAATCCAGTGCAGACTCTTGATGAAAACAAATTACAATCTTTAAGCGAGTTGAGACCTTCCATTATTTGACTTTGTGGTGCACTTCCGGGAAACAGAATTCGAGTTATTCTATCACTTGGGTCAGCTGGCCTCCAAACTATGAGACAGCAAATGGACATTACATCAGAAATTGGAATCGCAATATCTTGTCCTGATTTTCCACCATTTTTATGAGCAGAACGAGTTCTCAGAATAGGGAGACTTTCACGATCCGAGTTACAGTAGGACAAAAAGTCTTTCAACAATCGACTATCTCGAGGTGGACTTAGGACATACATTTCCAACGTTCCATGGCCCACTTTATGGTACAAAGTCAGTGGACTTGGAGTGGACTCTCTGAGACATTGACGTGGACTGCAACCGATCTGCTTCAATCTCGCTGCAATTTCATTCCCGTAATCGATGATACTGATAACTAAATCATTCGCGTCCGCTTGAATACCAGCATAACCGGTGATTTCTTCTTTTCCCGTTTTGGCCTGCGAATCAGTTTTATCAGCAATGTTACAAAAAACGTAGCCGATTTTCAGAAACATGGAAGATTCTTGTTTGCCCTTCAAAAGGTGCAAAATTCCCCAAAGGTTTGACTCGTTGATTCTGGTCATCATGATTGAATCAAGTCGCTCAATGTGTCTCACAAATTTCCAGAAACAAGGGTACCTTGTGAATCCTCCATCAATCAACATGGTGAATCCAGTTATACCGAAAAGTGAACAATCACCTTGACCACTGGGGAAAATGTACATCGTCGGTCTCTCAAATCTGATATTCCCAATCAGGGGAGATGATTCAAGAGTCTCATCTTTCTCAAGAGTTGTCAATGAATTTTCAATGAATTCCAATAAACTTGAAGCCCCAGGAACACCATTAGGACTATCGGGTGGATTAAGTGAAAGGTTAATTAGATGAGAAAAGGATTGATTTTCAAGATTGTTGGTAACCCAATCACCAATTGGTGAACAATGAAGATGCATATTAAGAGTACATCCTGCAGGATATTGAGACAGAACTTTGGTTATATGGGGATCACTCAATTCATCAACGAAATCTTGGAATCTGAAGACTCCATCTTGTAACATCCATGATCCACTTCCAGTGAATGAATAACCAGCATAGATTATGTGCTTATGACCAGTTGGAGAAAGAAGTAAATTTCTGAGACATTGTTGTAGAGCGGAAATTTGAGGATTGAATAAAACCTCGACCGCAAGTTTATCCGTTGAATGTTGCAATAGAAGAGCTAAAATAGAAGATATTATTATCATAATACAACATCGATTTCTCTAGTTATTATTAAATCACTAGCGAAATGTATCTTACCGGTTTCCAACAAGTTTCGCTTACTAGCAATCAAATTATCGCAAACTTGTTCCAAATGTTTCAGATCACATTGGGTAGTTTCAATATTCCATGAAAGTAAACCTGTAATTAAGTAAAATTCAATTGATTTAATTGACCTTCGAGCTTCAACTTATATATGAACTTCCAATCTCTTCGACCAAATCGTCAACCAAGTTTCCAATAACATTGTCACAAAACTATTGAACTTTTTTTTCCAATAATAAGTTTACATTGAAATTAAACGTAATTGCCGATTCTCAGGCTGAGAAAATGCCGCAGGCGATTATCTTGTCACACTGATTGGATTATATTTAGAAAATGAGAGATCTGATATAGTTGATATACTGATCAGGCAAAATCATTGCCAATCTTTTCATTGAAAGGCTCAATTAATATTCATCTTTACAAATTATCGTCAACTGTCAAGCAGAAATACATTTCTATTTGTAATAGAAATGTAATCCAATTGTTAGGTAACGAAATTTACTAAATCAATATAAGGTGAGGCTCAAGGAGAAATTATTGTGCATGTTCATGTTCTGATTATCATTTGAAACTCATCTTTCTATCGATTCTTTTCGACATTCATGAACACAATTTCTTCCTCTATTTTCCTTTTAGCAGCATTTCCTTTGATTGATAGTCAAACATTCATACTCAGTGAAAGTTATCTAATGCACGGTCTACCTAACAGCAACATCATATCAGAAACTCCCTTTTCCTGTGGCTCAGAGATGATTGAAGATGAAACTTTGGTCATTTTCATGAGAAATCAAATAGTTTAATCGTTTACATTAAAAATGATATCAATAGTAATTCAATTGATCTTTTAAAAGACAAACTAAAATGAAAACTTTCATAACACAATTAATATGAATAAAACGGTTCGACATTCAGCTTAGAGTAAAGTTGAAAGTCACATTAATATTATTATAAATATACTATTCAATCAAGATTCGAGTTACATTTTGATTAACGATCATCATAAATACTGTTATGAACATCGATAGACATTTTTATCATCATTAGAAATTGATATTCTATTGGAAATTTGTTCATCATTAACTGAACATCATCAACTGTATTCTAACAGTAATCAAATTGAGATATTAACAGTAACGAAATTAAGATTAACAAACAGAAAAATGAAATGTAATCATTATCACCTTTTCTTATTTTCGTTGGATTCGTAGTTGATTTGATGATTGATTTTCTAATATTTCTGGTGTCGAATTGTGATATTGTTGATCTACTTATTCAAGCTATTTGAATGGAAAACTAATTACTATTAATAATTGAGAGAGAAAAGTAATCAAATTAATAATGTTTCTATCAGCATTGAATATAACATTTATATATAAATATGAACCTTGGATATTATTAAATCGTCGAAATGTTCAATCGAGCAATTGAAAAATATAAGGTCATCAAGATCGATAAACAAGTGAATAAAGTTTTTGGTGGATTGATTTGCAAAAGAAGAAGAAGAAAAAAAAATTCTAAATAGAAAATAATGAAAAGTTATGATAATAATTATGATAACACAATTGAGACAATTGATAATCTTATTACCTTGAAGAATATTTTTACTCTGAGCCACACCTATTCCTATGTCTCCATGAAAAAAAGGGAACAATTTCCTAAATTGTTCCAAACACAATTTATCAAACTCAATTCTTATGTATAAGTTTACAGTTGGAGAAAATTATCTTGACCAATTGAATCGATTGATATTAATTAAAAGATTTTTCCATTATAATTAAACTTACCCTTGGCCACTCGCTGAAGGATTTTTCCCTTGTGATTATCACACATCGGTTCACCTAAAATAACCAGCAAATAGCAGCCAGGTAGACTTGAAATCTCATGCGATTCCATTTTGATATTATTTAGATAACTTTCCTTATGATAAACTAATTAGAAAACAATTAATTGCTGGTTAATTAAGGAAAACACAGGATTCAGTTGTATGGGTGTGGTCATCAATCTCTGGAACCGGTGAACAAGGAGGCAGAAATACAAAGTACTGAATAGAACTGCGTAAAAGGTAACAGGAAAAAAGTGAGAATTAGATTATCTGTTTCAGGGAAATCAATCTATTAATAAGGATTAAGTGAATCTCTCACCTTAAGGAAGTTTTGACAGATTATCCTAATCCACTATTCGAGTGAACAAATGAAACTTATCTGAAATAAAGAACGAGTTCTCCAGGAACTCCGGCTTCTTTCTCACAATATGAATGAATGAAGAGCAAAAATGAATAACACAATCTGAGTTCTACTTTTTCTCTCTCAGTTCTATACAATATTCGACAGTCAAACATGCGCATTTTTCTCATTCGAAATTTTCTGGTTAGTCTGTGATCGCTGCTTGGAGTTTATTTTTATTTTTCTATTGATCGATAATAATATTTATCGGTTGCTATTAGTTACATACAAGTTTCAGTCAAACTTTTAATCTAATTTTGTTTTTTTGGCTCTTCTATTATTCTCATTTAGTCTGTTGAAAGATTTATTCAATTCATTACAATAGATGATAATAATTTATTGAATCAATTGTCGTTTCGAAAAATATTTTCAGACAGAAAAGTACAGTCAATTGGTCTTGAAATCGAAATTGATTGATCAGTGAATGATAATTCACTCGAAAATATTATCATATTGGTATATATCATATCTATCGCCGATATATAAATTCTCAATGATTAACCTTCGCAACTCTATCAAATGGCCTTTTTTGTGCACTTGCACTATCGCTACATAATTAAAATTCATATCAAATCATCATGAAAGTGGAAAAGAAAATTCTGGCCTGAAAACCTAAGAAAAGGTCTAAAAGTAATAATAAAGACTCGAAAGTTTGGGTTTCTGGTGGTCGATCTCTTTGTATTACCAGTGCAATCGAACTGTTCAAACTCAGAGAATTGTTATCATGTGCACTGAGAAGATTTCGTATTAATAGATGAATACAGGGACATTTACATGTAGATACATGTAGATACATGTATTAATACTTAAGACATTTACTCGATATTTGATTACTTGATCGTTTTAATTGTGATTGATGATCATAAACCATTCGAACCTTAATTTCTTGCTGGACAAGCGAAAATCGGTCAAAAAATGTTGTTTCATATTCGTAGACCCAATATTCAACATGATACTAAGCAACCACGATCATTAACTCAACAACATGTATCGTAATTAAATTTAATTGTTTTGAATAGAAAAAAATGTCAATCAAACTTCTCAATAACATGATGCCATCTATTGTGTTAGAAAATAAACATTAGTCGCATTTAAATTTTTCTCTTTCAACATTTTCTTTTTTTAAATCCATTTGTTAATCTCTTAATTCTTTGGGATGGATTTACGATTCGTTTTCTATTCCAACACTTAATCTAATCTTTATTTGAATCATTCGTAATAGATCATCTCGTCGGCGAAGATCGATCATCTCTTGTGTCTTCATCTCTACCAATAGATGGCAATTGTTATGTTGTCTCTCTGTGAGATTGTCCTCATTTTCCCTTAATGTTCATGTTTACTTGGTTTCTATCGGGAAGGTAATTGATTGTCAATTAAACGCTGATCGAATTGATTGTTGTTCCTTTCACATTGATCGCCCGATCTTCTAGTTCTTGAGGTGAGTAATTAGACATTTATTCAGTCCACTTCTCCGTCTTTTTATTAGTTTTTTCGTTTCGATGACCTAATATCTAACTCCTATCTCTGGGATACCAGAGAAAGAAACAAAAGTGAACCTTGAAACAGTCGAGTTCAGACATTTTGTTTTATTTCTGCTCTCGGAACATTTTGAATTCTATTAGGTGATCACTATTCAGAATAATTAACTAAATCATGTTGGAATAAATTGTTTCGACCATGAGAATTAAATTGATCCTGGAAGATCTTCTCGAAAAGATCAAATAAACTGCTCATGGTCCTCACCCAGTTTTCAGAATGTCCATCAAAACCTAAAGAATATTTTAATCTCTCTATCAACTTCATTGCCGAGATTCTGGTTGACCAGAAAACCCGAGTTTGGGTCAGTAATTTACTGTTTCTGTTTCAAATTTTATTCTTTCAGTGATTTGATTGTCAATATTTTTCCCGCTTCTCTAATATCTGAACATCGATTTGTTGATTAAACTTTTCATCTCATGTTTCTATTTAATCTCATACAGATTATCTTTTAATATCTTCTCCCACTTTTGTCTCACTATTTTTCATCCTCAGGAATCCATTTCATTGAAGATAAACTCACACAATTACCGTCCAATTCAAGCCATCCCAAGCCAAAGTTACTCTCAATAAGTTGCAACAATCAATAGCCTTAAATTGTAGTGAACATGATTACTAAATTGTTACCATGGCTCATCTTCATCCTTGTAACAGGTAAGTTGATTAATTACCTTTTCCAATTGATTTTGTTTTCTTCTCTGATTTTTCATTCATTTACACTAATTAGCTTTTCTTTTACAACTTTCTGATTAGTTGAATCAGTTATGCACTTTCATTTGTTTCCATTGAAATACACTAATTAATCCTAATAATTAAAAGGAAAAAAGTTAATTCTCTTCATGAATTTCAATCTTCTTCAGTCTGTTTCCATTTGGATCAGATTCAAGATACAATAATACTTTTTCTGAATCATCTTAAATTGAAACAATTAGTGTAGCTTTTGATTCAAATTCAGTTTAGGTTGACAATTAATTTCTAATATATTACAATAAGTTCACTGAATACTCAATCAACTGAGTTATTGACTAATTCGCGTCTTGATTACCACAATTTTGTTATTACAAAATCTGAATACAAGTTAATTTTGATACTTTTTGTTTCTTAATCAGAATTCGTGTCTATGCAAAAGCCTGAACTTATTGACCTCGAAACTGGAACAGTTCAATTGAATTGCACTGGAACTGGAATCAAATGGTAACTACAAAAATATCACAAAACTATATTGAAATTAATTTTATCGTCAATTTTTATCTAGGTACAAGTTGGTCGAAGTTGATAAGCCTAAACAAATTCGAGGCGATGAATACAATAGATATAAATTATCTAATGACAATCGCACCTTGACAATTGAAGATCCTCGCAAAAACGTGGACGAAGCCGATTACACTTGTTCGCGCTCCTCAGGAAATCGAACCTTTAGAGTTCGAGGTAATTCAATTTTCTAAATTCAGTGTGTTCATAATCACGTAGAGACGTTTGGTTACCGAGTAACTACCAGAGAAAAAGTTTGGAAACTTTTGATAAAATCGTAATATTTGAAGAACCAATTGATCAAATCAATGGAAAATTATTTTATTACTTTCGATTAAACAACATATTGGTAGAAGAAAAAAACTTCATCAAGTCAAATCGTTTCTTCACAAATTGATTCTAAAATCGAAGGGAAAAATTAAATTCATGTTGAATAATTGGACTGTTGGATAATAAATTATCGGTCTTCCAGAGTTATTTCAAAACCAATGAGAGACTCTCACTGAAACAAACAGCATTCTAATGCCCACAATTTTCAGGTCAAATCAATCGTCTCTATGTGATTACAAGCCAAACATATCACATATCATATATCACATTTCTCATTTATTGTTTTATTTTACTTCCAGGGAAACCCGAATTCTCAACATTCAAAGCTTCTGGTCACACCAAAGACATGAATTCATTTAATGTGGCTCAAGATGATGATTTACATTTAGTTTGTGAGGTTCTGTTAAGATCAGCATTTAAAGAGGACGATGTTGATTTCGTTTGGTACCGAAAATTTCCCAATGGAGTCGAGGAAAAGATCACCAAATTGAACATCTCAAGTGCTGAAGATGCCGGTGGATCATTTGTAACCAAGAAGTCAATACTTTCCATGGAAGATGTGAAATATGGAGATCGAGCCGAGTACATTTGCGAAGCATCGAATGGTCAGATTAAAGCAAATAGCACAGTCAATGTACGAGTGAAAGACAAATTGGCTGCTCTTTGGCCATTCTTGGGAATCGTGGCCGAGGTTTTAGCTTTATGTACAGTCATTTGCATCTACGAGAACAGAAGAGGAAAACAAGAGTTCGAAGGCTCCGACGGCAAAAGTCCTTCCAAAAGTCCTGCACATTCAAAATGATTATATTTATGACTTTGATTACCATGAATCAAGAAGGACAATGAAGAAGAAAATAAAAGGATAAAATAGAAAAAGAGACTTTATCATCCTTCATCTTCACATGTTCGTCTCTTGCTAATGAAACATTAGATTGATAGTTTACCTTTCGTCCTAATCAATTTATTTTCTGTTCAAATTTCAACTGAACTTTGGATAACTTTAGTAGGCTGATTATCACTTTCTCTCTCTCTCTCTCTCTCTCTTCATTTGTTGAATCTTCCATTCTTATCATCTCAATCATTTCCTTATTATTATGTTATATGGACAATCCTTTTACTTTTTTCTGTTAATATTCAAAATCTAATTTTAATTTGTAAATTAAGTGTTAAATCATAATCATAATTTCTCATAATTGATTTTCTTGACTTTAAAATAGCTTCTTATTCAATTGTAATTCAAACTAAGACTATGCAATCAATTGCTATTTCCTAATCATTGATCACCGAATTAAAATCAAACGGATGATTTTAATTTCTTTTTTTTCAATGAGAAACAATCAAAATTACTTCTTGGTTTCATTCATTTCCTCTATTCTTGCCTTTAATTGTCTCATCACTGTTAATCTGTATCATTAAGAAAATTAAACGCTTTTTAATACAAAATACTAATTGTTCATTAATTGTTACAATAGTGATCAACTCACATATGATTTAAAGGTAAAACTCGATTCAAGATTCTGTTGAAACATTTGGTTAAAAGCCCGCGAACTGATTTAGCTAATTGATTGAATATCGATTCTTTTATTTCTTATTTATCGCTATCGAGCAGCAATAGCAAGTCGAAGTATTAATATTTACATGGAATAGTTTAATCATCGTCTTCAGTTTTCTATTAACCATTACTACGCCTAATATTTGTATTCGTGTAGCAAAGTTTTCGAGATGAAATACTGGTACTTTGATGACGCGCACCAGATGATGATTATGGGACAAAAACAATCGGCAATGACCAGTTATCCTTTTAACACCCAATATATTGATATCTAGATGGACATAAACAATATTTCTCGTTCTGAGGGGCGAGATGTTGTTTGAGCTCTGATCAGGATCCTGATGAAGGATCGTCTTTCTCTAAGCCATATGGATCGAAATCAAGCTCAGCAGTATCATTATGACATTGGAGCAAAATATCTGAGTTCTCGTCAGTTGATAACTTGGAAAATACCTGAGATCTGATACATGTATGATCCTTGAGCGTAAAGGTCACCCGGACTCAGACCAGCGATCAACTTCTTGTCGCATATTAACTGCTCGCAAACGGAAGGCTGAGATACATTGATCATATTGATTGGCTGGCTAGGATTATGATTAAGTTTGTGGCAACTAATTCTGAGAAATATTAATAGAATTGCTATTGAACTTTGATTGAATTTTTATCAGAAAATTAGTTGATTAACTTTACAATCTGACTTGATGCGATTTAATCGACTTCCATCAACTGATTTGCGGTCGATAAAGGTAAACACAAAAATCTATTAATTGCTGGTTAGTGAACTAAAATTTGTTAAATTTGTTATGTTGTTTGTTGTGTATGTTAATTTGTTATTAGAAATGAAAATTGACAATGAAGCAATTTAATCACAATTATCCAAAATTAACAGTGATGATAATCAATGTTATTAGATAGCAAAAGTTGATATGAAATAGGAAAGGAGATTAGGTGGGAGGAGGAGATGGTGGTGGGTAGAGCAGCGAGCCTATGAACAGTAGAGTCCCGATTATGATGAAAGAGTCAGAGAGATGATAAAATTTAAGATGAAAAAAGTGAGTGATAAAGGAAAAGTAAAAGGTCGCTTGAGAATTGGAAAAGGATGAAGGCCAAGGAGGAGGAGGAGGAGGAAGAGAGGTGGCGAAGAGAGGGAGAGAAAGTGAGAGAAAAGATGTGTATAATATTATCTCTCTCTCTCTTCTTCTGTTTCTATTTGCATATGGGTATGGATTCACATAGATGCTTATTATTGTCATATTATTATCATTTTGTGAAGGGAATCGAGTAAAATATTATCCAGTAAAGGGAGCGAAAAGTTTACTCATATTCATTATGTGGTCTACACGCGTTAAAAGGGACAGAAAGTGAGCGTGCCTCGTGCTAAGAGAGAGGTACAGTAAGGGAAGAAGATAGAGATGATAATGATGAAAAAAATGAGGTTTCATTGTAGGCGTTATTTATTATGAAGAGAAGACAATAATGCGATAAATACATATACATGGGGAAGAGAAAAACCTCTTTTATCATTTTCTTCTTCATCTTCTTGTCCCAAGGATCATTCCTAGAATTTCAGTCAAATGAGGGTGAGAGAAGAGAGATGAGAGAGAGAGAGAGAGAGAGAGAGAGAGAGAGAGAGAGAGAGATGGAAGAGGGAACAGTTAAATATTGGGAGGCGAAAATTTTGAGGGGAACTGACAGCGTATTGTTTAGATCGATGAGCGTATTTGCTATACCATGATGATGATGAAAAGAAGAGAAACTTTTTATGAGAATAATACTCTTTCAATGGATTGGCTGCATGCACTTAATGTGTATTACTAATGTTATCTTCATTTTTATCTTCATCTCGCTCAGTTTCTAGTAAGGCAAAGAAGATAAAGTCTATTGTGTTCAATGGAAGTAGTAATAAGAAGAGTGAGAGGAGTTTTCGATGTTGGTGGAGGTTAAGGGGGAGAAATGAAGGAGAAATTTTGAAGAGGACCAACTCACCTCACCTCACCCTCACCCTCACCCTCTCTCTCTCTCTCTCTCTCTTGCCCTTTTCCCTGTAATATTTAGTCATCTCATCTTCAATTAATTTAACAAGAAGTAAAAATCTACATATTAACACAGTGAAAGTAAAAAGGTTTAAGATGATGATATCACTGTGAGAATGATAATCATCATGATAATATTTTACAAAGGCTTATCCATTGCAATTCTTATGCAATATAAACACTTTTTTCATGGGTAAACGATTTCCATCAACAAGTTATCAATGGTCAATTCTGCAAAGAAAGTAAAAAGTAAAAAGATATGGAGAGGGTGGAGTTGTTGTAGGCGGGGATGACGGTGGAAAAGTAAAATGCCCAAAGGAAGGGAAACTCTTCTGAATGAGAAGTGAGGGGCAAACATAGTGAAGCCCAAAACTCCAAGGTAAAGGGCCTTTTTTCCGTTCCGGAATTTTGACCTTAACCAAAAGGTCCAGCCCAAAGTTAAGATATTAACTAACAACTTGTAAGTTCAACTACAACAATGTAACGATACAATTGAATCAAATGATAATCAGCTAATGATAACTCAGGTAAATCTACAGGTAAAGTTTTTCCTCTTGTTAATAAAAAAAAAGTTATAACTAATTTTCGGTTGGTCGATTTACACTCAACAGACAAACAGAAAAAAAATTAATGATATTAAGCTTGGGTAAGTAATGGTAAATATTATCTTCATATTATCATCATAATATCATCATTATCATCTTCAGGTATTGGTGGTGATAGTGGTCACCATAGTTGCTTAACCATAACATTACCTTTCATTGTCCGAGTCTCTCTCTATTTTGAAGGAAAAAACTTCTCATCGTCTTGATGAACATAAAAAAGTTGAAATTCAATTAATTGTGATTAGCAATTAGTTTAATTCCTGGTATATGTCTACCTGTTTATAAGATAATTGTAAATTTATCCAAATCGTTAATTAGTTGAAAAGTTTTCCACCGTAAGTTGAATACTTGGAGAATCAAATTGTTTATTTTGTTTTTGAATTGAAAATTAACTTGATTGCAATTAACTCAAATTGTAAATCATAATCATTTTATTAATTTCAATGGTTCAATTTGATTAACCATGAACATAATTTGCTTGATTGTTGCTGTTGATGGTAAACCTTTTCAATTCGTTGAGTTGATTAGAGTTGACAATTAAGATGGTTAAATTATTGTGGTTTATTAGTTGATTTGGTTAATTGTTTAAATTATTGGATCAAGTTTTGTTTTTTTTGAATCATTTCTTCAATCAATTTAATATAATCTAACACAATTAACTAATCAACTATCTCTATGTTTACAAGGTTCTTAATCATTTCCGTCTGTCCATTAACATTGAATATAATTTATTAACTTAATCATCGCAATCACACACTGACAGTTAATCCATCAACAATTAACTTAACTAATCATCATGATTATCAAGCGAATTAATTTTTTGCCTTTAAAATTAAATAATTTCAATGAATCAATCTGTCAATCCTGATTGTTTCCATTTAAATTAACAACCCAATTTTATAACAATTTAACCTAATTGTTGGTAATCATCAATTAAAATGTTGTTCAAATACACAATATCTAATCTTAATCATAATTTGTTATCAACAATCAAGTAAATTGTGACTTTTTATCATATTTATAAACATTTTTTATGGGTTCATCTTAATCACTCTAATTGCTGCTTTAACAATTAACAATCTGAGTCTGGTTTCTATTTAATTGTTATACATACATAACAGTATTTTCATTATGATTATGGACATTGCTTTGAATTTGATTACAACAATTAACTGGTCAATGATTGAATTGTGAACTGTGTTGATTGTGTCTCATTGAAAATCTTCACTTTTTACAATTAATTCACAACTACTGTTGTTATAATAACAATTCAATAGGTCAGTTGATGACAACAATTACAATCACAATTAACGCGAAATTTTTTGATTATTATAAACAAACACCCTGAAAATCATCAAAGTGTATCAAACAATATGAAAAAACCACACCCAAGGTAAAAACCATATAACCACAAATTGTGATGAAATAATCAGAATGAAAAAGATCAGCTTAATTGGTGAAAAGGTAAATCTAATTATAATCATAATCTCAATGGTTCTAATGATTAACATCATTGAAATCAAATGGAAAATCGGTAAATTTGAAAACGTTTCTTTCGAAAAGTTTTTATTTTCAATTGAATCCGTTTAATTAAGATAATGATGATAATCAAGATCCAAAATGTATTAGTTAGTGAAGATGAGAATGATTAAGATGATGGAGATTCTGTTAAGACGGTATAAGGTTAATTCGGACGACCCGCCGTGATGACCTGAACCTGAACCGGGGTGTGAAGGGTGAGTCGATAAAAGAAGGAGCCGAAAAAATGAGAATTTCTTTTTTATTCTTCTTTATTTTTTGGTCTTTTCATCTTTTCTCTTTCTTTTCTTTTCTTCTTCTTCTCATCATATTTGCTAGTTTCGTGCTGTTTACTCTGCAAAAAGTGTCTCAAAAAGGTGGCCTCAACGGTTCACTTACCTCTATCACCTTTCTGTCTATTTCTCTGTCTATTGCAACCACCAGTCTCTCTCTCTCTCTCTTCATCATATCCAACTCCCTCTATTTTATCCTGTAAGTTTAATGGTTTGTGTGATGTTATGAGTGTACTCATTTGACTGTTGCTTTTTGTTCAATGTTGGGTTGATATGTTTGGTTGTTTAGGTTGTTGTGCTGTTCATGTTGTTCTTGATCGTTTGTCCGATTTATTTTGACCGAAAAAAAGGAACCAGTAAGAAAGAGGATGAGGAAGGTTTAGAGAGAGAGAGAGAGAGGACAAGGATGAGAAGGAGATGAAAACAAAGTGGATTGGAGGGG